ACCATTATCATGCGAGACGGAGAAATTGAACATGAGTCTATTCAATCCCTTCAAACCGTGTCGACGTCCCTGTGCATCGAATGTGTCGGCGGCGATTGGACAACCAGGACAGTCGACAGCCAAAATTCTACCTTCTGCCTCGATAGCAGCATCGAAAGATAAAGAATCTATGGTATCACTGGCAGATTCCGAAATGGCTGGAGGTAATAGAAATGCTTGACTAAGGGTTGCAAGAGCAGCCCCCGCTCCGAGTGTGATAAATCGCATGGTGATGTGGATCGATAGATTGGATGTCGTGGGGTAATGTTGTGTTGCTTGTCGTCGAAGGGAATATATATTGTCGAAACCGGTAGACCTGCTACTTTATGACGAGGTCTGGTAGAATATTCTTTCAAACAGAATATGGGAGATTTTGCGAAAATAATACGAGTAAGTGGGTGAGAGTGAATGAAGAAATAGATTATTGTGTTGATGGTAGAAAGATGAGGAGAAGTTATGGTTTCATGTCAAGCCTGAGCGTCTCAAAGGGACGACAGTGAAAGGAAGCGGCGAGGTTCCACTAGTGGACACAGCCTCCATAAATGTCACTACCCACTAGAAAGTACGAGGTGCGCCGTAATTAAACCAGATTCTCGACTAGTAAATTGAGCACGTGATTTTAGCGTGAAGAAAGGATGGCTTCGGCATTTGCTGCTTGCAGTACACGTGATGTGGCTGGTGAACTTGTGGCTGCTGATAAGGCACGATTATATAATCACTATCAACAATCTCAAGCGAGCTATCAGAACAAATAGATTCCGACTCGCCGATTCTTTCAAGCACAGAGCTCAGGTACTTTTTTTGGTATTGCAATTTGAAATGGAATCCCACGATGCATGAATCTCAAGATGTGATTGACTACATTTGGGTCTCGTACTATTGAAATGTACTATCGGAGGTATGTACTTCGTACTCGTCACACACGTACATACAATCAATCAATCAATCAAATCAAATCACAGCGAGAGAAGTAATGAGTCTGGACTCGTTGGGCATTTCTCTTGTAAGTATTGAAGCCTCAACAATCACATCTCACGATGTATCCCCTCTTGAACCTTTTTTCCTTCTTCTTTTGCCACTCTTTTCTCCATATCTTTTCCTCATTCTGGGGTCTGGGCATTGAGCTTCTTTTGCTTCCCTTACTTTCGGTGTAGCAACACTCAGACCGAATCGATTCAGCACTGGGCGACCCCCACTGAAATACCAACTGTATCCATTATGAGTGGAGAGATTTGGGGAGCTACACTGTCAGATGATGTCAACAACCCTTGGTACATAGCAGGTAGCTATCATTTCTGTTTTCACTCTACGTCAAGCAAGTACCAAGGACCTTCTTAAACTAAGTACCAATTTTCTCCAGAATACTTTTCACTTCATACAAGAGCATCCGCTGTCCATTAAACCTTTCATTCTTCAATTGACTTTGAGCAAATATTTTTGAATATAGTGAATCTACTGTCTTTTTTATAACTTCATTGAATTATCTCACTCGGATCAGATTTCCCGTTGCAGAGACCATCTAACTCGGTCGCCATTTTTGGACCTTTTCTTAGTGGGTGTATACTTACATTCTAACAAACACGTCAACGATGTTCCGATCACAACTTCTTAGACATACAGCTCGTGCTGCCAGAGCTTCAACAAAGGCAGCTTCATCTCGCACATTACCAGCTCTATCCTCAAGACCAATTCACAGCACAGCTTCCCTTCGTGAGAAGCTCGATGATCCACCCCACGAAGGTTCTTTTGCACGAACCGATTCCTCTGTACATGTCGAATACCCAGAAGAACATGATTTGCCATCCAGTAAGCCAGTACAAGGCAGAGGTGGGCTTCACTTCAAGCGTACACTTGCATCTTTCTCTTTGGAAGGAAGAGTCGGTGTCGTTACCGGAGGTGCCAGAGGCTTGGGACTTGTCATGAGTCAAGCCATGGTTATTAGTGGTGCTGATATTGCAATTGTTGATATGAATAGTATGTGCCTTCAACAAATGTTGAGTTGATGTTGTGCTAATAATGCAACAGAGGAAGAAGCCGAAAAGCAAGCAGGAGAACTTGTTGCTTCATTCAAGAGAGAGAACCCAGGAGCAGAAAAGTAGGAAAAGCAATTTTACTTTGATCTTGTAATCAAAGGCTTACGCATCATTTTAGGGTTCCAAAGGTTACCGCTCATTACGCAGATGTCTCATCTCAAGAATCCGTCGATGCTGCTATTGCCGAAATTATTTCCCAGCACGGGAAAATTGATAACCTAGTGACATCAGCTGGTTTCACTGAGAACTTTGAAGCCATTAACTACCCAATCGATCGAGTTCGAAAACTCTGGGGTGTTAACGTGGATGGAACATACCTGTTTGCAATTGCTGTTGCAAAACACTTGATGGAGCGTAAGGCTCCAGGAAGCATGGTGTTTATTGGCAGTATGTCCGGTGCCATTGTCAATGTTCCACAACCTCAAGCGCCGTACAACGCGGCCAAGGCTGCTGTCCGACATCTCGCTTCATCCTTGGCTGTCGAATGGGCTCACGCTGGCATCCGAGTCAACTGCATCTCCCCTGGATATATGCTGACTGCATTGTAAGATCTGAGCCCCAGAAAGACCCCGTGGGGGTTTAATTTTTCTTTCATGTGAGCCAATGCTAATCACGGAAACCATAGAACCAAGAAGATTCTGGATGAAAACCCAGAATTGAAGAAGCAATGGACTTCCCTTATTCCCCAGGGTAAGATGGGCCAGCCCGAAGATCTTATGGGCGCCGTCACTTTCCTCTCATCAGATGCATCTAACTACGTTACTGGAGGTAAGAACATCTTTCTCCGCAAAGCCCCTTTGAGTCAACTTGCTGACACCATCCCAGCCGATTTACGAGTAGATGGAGGTTACACTCTCACATAATCGATCCTTGTTCTTTAACAGGTCGCCAAGTGTGTTTATATCGCTTTTTCTTATGTTCAAAAAAGCATTAGATCTTCGAACCCGAGTCATAGGTGGAAATGGCTTACTGCTTCCACCCTCTTCCTACTCGGCTTAATGTAGCATGACGAACTTTATGAAATTTCTTTCAACAGCAGACTTCACCTTGACATTCAGTGTGATATCATTTACGTATCCTACCTACATACCCGCTTGTCACTCGCGTAACCTTGCGAAATATCACAAGATCATTCATCCATTTATCTATCTTCATTTGACTCCTGCAACCATCCCTCGCGACATCACGTGTAAACCCACACCTAAGATTTCTTTTCTTCCCCTTCTCATAGTGCCTACAGCGCGAACTACAACATCACACCACATTGCACAGCAGCAAAAAACAATTCTCCGAATGAACTCGTGACTTTGAAGACCCTTGAGGATCGAGGGTGGGGGTGACTATTTTTTCTCATGGGGGTAAGTGCTGCTCGGAGTAATTTTGCTGTTTAGGATTTGGCTGAGTTCTGGGGGGGAAGGAATAGATGGGATAGGATAGGACGTAGATGAATATATAGATTTTGGTAGCAGAGGCAGAAAGAGAGGGAGAGGAAGAGAAGAGGGTGGGGAGATGGGGTACCTGGTATGCTACGGCGTGGGATCGTATGGATGTCCAGATGCTTGGATGAATGAATGAATCAATCGGTAGGCTATAGACCGCAATAGATGTTGTAAAATCGAGGGACAACCAAGTAATGTCCAACTTGGGATTGATTGGAGGATTGCAAGATGAAGAATGAAGGATGCTGAATTGTTAGAAGTACTAGATCGAGATACCTAGGTAAGTAGGTACCTCTTAACTCCGAGTTGTAGTTACAGTTACAGTTACAGTGTGAATGTATGTATGTATTGAAAATTTCTAATATATTGATTTTTTTTTTTACCAGCCTACCAGCCTACCATGCCAATATTGCTACTCCTGAGCTTCCATTCGCGTTTCAATAATCGAGATACCTACCCACATCTTGAAATACCTACCTAGTATTGAGATGTATTGATTTTGCTTCTAAAATACCTAGGTACCTATCCTATGTAGAATCGAAAATTTGCCGAATGCGTGATACAGACACACATAGCTGTTCCAGTCAGGTATTGCTGGTGATAATGTTGTGGAATGGCAATTACTGATTGGTTCGATACGATATCCCTTGCATTTTTCTAGCTGGCCGGGCATAAAATCTACCTGCTACTGCATCTGATTCTTAGGGTGCATTTTGTATCTGCTATTGGTGAGAGTAGAGTGAGTAAAGCAAGCAGAGCAAGTCAAAAAAACCCCCAGTAAAACTCTCGAAGTCATCCATCCCATCCATCCCAAGTTTTCACTGATAAAAAACATGAGGCTCACCCCAGAGAAGAGATATACCTAGGCAGACCATGTCCACATCCACATCCACATCGACCTTCACACCCACACCCACCTTCACACTCATATTCATAAGCATACGCTAGGTAAACAAAAAACCACCCAGGGAAATGAGAAGATTGCTGCCCAATCCCTAACAGTATTGTCCCGACTTCTTTCCCCCTCCCGAGCCCGCCAGTGGTACCAGGGGCCAGGACGAGGCAAAAAGTTAATATATTTTGAGGCTTGCTCTGCGCCGAAGAGGAGCAGCTACCTACCTACCCCTTCAATCAAGGCGAAAAAAATATCGGGACACCAGATAGAGAGACTCGCCAAAAACCAAGCCCCTTTCAAGAGAGGATGCCTCGCCTTTGTTCAATAAATTAACAATCAGATGATATAATGTATTATAGAAGTATAATTCTAATATAACAGGATTTGGAAAATTCATTAATCATACGCTCGTAAACATTTCTTAATAGATTTTGCTTCGAAATACTGTTGAGAAGATTTGATGTGTAATTTTTTGAGAAAGGGAGTGAGATTTTGGAACCCCCCAGCAATTTTTCGTCCTTGATGGCGCCACCCACGCAGAAAAGACCAGCGGAGAAAGAAAACGAAAACGAGAAACACGTTTCTAGAAGCATTTTAGTGAGTAGGAGGAAGGGAGCTAGAAGGTTGGAAGGAACAATTTGCGTTTTCTCGGGTCAGGATATGTGAGACATGGGTGGAGTAGAGAGAGAGAGCGTGCGTGGGCGAAAAAAAAAGGGCAAGGGGCGGCTCGGCGGCATCGCCTTGGATGGATGGTTGTTCCCCTGAGTTTGGCAAACTTTCGTCTTGCTTTGCTTTGCGTTGCTTTGTTAGATTTTGGGTCATGTCATATGATCTCGGACGGTTTAGGACTTGGTCGTTGGGTGCCGTTCTTCTGAGACAGTGATTTGGTTGATTGGAATATGGAATATGGGGCATGTTTTCTGCTGGCCTCGGGATAAACACGCGGGATGGGTGGTTGGATGAGAGAGATCCTATTGTCCGCCTTGCTCAAGAGTAATTAATGAGTGCATGAAGCTTGAGGCTCGAGGCTCGAGTCAATTCCCAATAAAGGTTTGATAGACGGTTTATCCTGCCAAAGTTGCTTTAGTATGGTGCTAGTTCATTACTCCATTACTGTTCGCTGTAATATATCGTACTGTAAGTCATGTGGTGTGGAGAAGTACCGGGTGGGGTCCAAAATCCGGGGGATTGGTAACTTTGGTCTAGATATTTAAATGTCTAAATGCAATATAAAAAACTTTGTAAGGATATATAGAGTAGGTATCTACCTAGGTATTTTCCGATGGCTCCAATCGAAACTTCCTATGGTTACCTAGTGAAAAGAGCTGTACTGGGTCACAAATTTGTTTCGTTTCTTGGGATTCCAAGTTCTGATTGTTACTCTACATTGCCAGTCTAGATTCCTGGATTCTGTGAGAGTAACACAATAGCATCCCCCATCTTCAGACCAGTAACAATGAACGTGACACGACATTTCCTTAAATTGAGGCGGAGAGATAAAAAGAGGTCAGATGTTCAGAAACGTTTCCGTACTTGGATATCGGAAAGGGTTCCGCGAAGTTTGGGAGTATTGCAGATGTATAAAGCTGGACGAAAGCTACCTAGTACCTTGAAGATATAGATTAGGAAGGTGGGTAACTTTCTCTGTTGTGCTGATGAGGACTGAGAGATTCTGTTGTCGCATGGAGAATGCGCGTGTTTGTTGGGATTATTTTCTCGGGTGGAAGGATTGGCCTTGTCTGGTTCGTTACCTTTCCCTCTTTTGCCTTGACTTTTGCTTGTCTCAAGATTGTTTGCTGGCTTTTGAAAGCAAGCAATGACTCGTTCGTGATCAGTGATTATATGCGTTTTCCCATAGTAAGACGAATACTAGAATCCTGCGACAGCGGTGAGTCCGAATAGTCGCACAGGTCGGTAAGATTGAGTTACAGGACGCTATGAAGCGTGCCAGCCCAACTGTAAGACTTATAAGAGATGTACTATGGGTATAATACCAATGCGAGATTGACAACGTGAGAACTATGAGTCGTGCCGTAGATTATCACTGCCGGGGCGATTTCAAGGCTAGAAACCGGCCTCGCGTTGTATTCCATTCATTTTGCCTTGCCTCGTGCCTTTATGCATATCGCAAAGCCCCTGAATATAGTTTGAGCTAGGTAGCAGATAGCAACATGTTATTTGCCGAATTCGAGTACCAACATGGTCATCATCGGCTTATTTGATATGGAATATACGGAGTACGGAGGGCGGACTCCGTAGAAGCAGGAACTGGGCCGTGTTTCTTGCACGACGATGATGCGGATGTTCTACATTGAGAATTTGAGACAAGAGATGAAGCTATTCTCATGTCAATCTTATCTCATCTCATCTCACCACGTCCAATTTCCCTGCATTGATCTTCCGATGGACAGGTAGTACTATAAGATTAGGTATGTATAACATATCAATGCTTTTCAGCAGTGTAAGGGTAGAAAAGGCATTCAGTGCAACTTCATATTTTCCGTAGGATGGCTAGATGCTCCTCACGCAAGTCATAAGTCATGAGTTGTAGCAATTGCCACTCAACACGGCATTCTTTGTGTTGTTTGTGACACTAGGATTGGATAGATATTTTCGGGCCCATCAAATGTTTTTTCCAAGTACATACCTAAGTCGCCAAAGTAAGTCAAGACGATGGAGCGGCCTTCCAATCCTTGTTGCAATGAATGTCCATGCATACTTCGTACAAGCGAAGTGAGATTCGTAGATACTCGAAAGCATTCTAATGTATGTCCTCTTCCGACCTAGGGAGGTATAGCGCAGTCATGTTATGTTAGATATATACGCACGAAATAGTTCTTGTGACAATCGAATATCCTTGGCAAAAGAAAGGAGCACACATGAGTGGTACCGGTATCGAAGGAAGTTGCATCCTGGGAAAGAGGCAAACGGTTTTCATTTACACCTTCCCTCCCTTGTCTGGTTTTCTTATTCCTTCTTGTTGCAACATCTCACCATCCCCACCGTATTATATAAACGAATCACGATATCAATGATAACCACATCTCTCCAAGAGAGGGAAAGAAGAGATAATGGCCGAGTAGAATGTGATACCTGGGTCAGAACCCTGGCTTGATTTCTCTACTAAGCATCAGCACCGGCTACTCCCATAAGGTTCCCACCGTTTTAATTTGATTAAAAGCCAATATTCCATGAAGAACAATGCAAACCCATAATTGTTCTTATGAGTGAGCGTTGTTGTCGGAGTAGAGAAGTTCAAGTATCAACAAGAGCAAAGGCATGGCAGAGAAAGAGAGAGAGAGAGAGAGGGCTAGATGAAGTTCATTACATAAATGATTGCTCGTCACATTACCTACTGACCATTCTTTACGGACTCGAGAAGTCTTCCGATAGATTGCTTCGCACAGTAGTGTACCGTTTTGTACATACATGATGTAAAAGCCAACGCAAAGAAGTCTCAGAGTCTCCAACAATCACAACAGTCGCCTTGTCATATCCACTTTATATGATCTGCCAGGCTCAATTCCCTCTGATCCATATCCATAATTCCATATTCATACCCATACTCATATTCATATTGTCCATCAACCTGGCACCAGGTCCATTATATCGTATCCATCCCGATCACACATACAGACCGAGAGAGATACGCTACCTCAAGTAGGTTATTTCTTCCAAATTAAAAAGAAAAGATTTGCAAAACTTGATTTCCATTGGGTCTCCTTATTATTACTCTATTCTTATCCCCGAGTCTAATTGCCGATCAATCAATCAATCCGTCTCATAATTCATCAAATACTTGCAACTAATTAATCATATAAAAAAATCAGGACTACTCGAGTTATTACTGTTTGCTGTGTACGTACTGTATTGTATTGTATTGTATTGTATTGTACTGTACTGTCTTCGTTCTCAAGGGAGATTCAAACACACACTGCTTCATCTATATCTGCTGGTCGGTACCTACCTATTCTATCTGGACTGTGCCGTGCTGTGTTGTGTTGTGTTGTGCTGTGCTGTGCTGTACGGAAGCAAAGAAGCAAAGACGCAAGTACCCCGTGCACGTTATACGTTATTTCTGTTCCGACTGACTGGAGCCAAAATGAAAACAATTATAACCAAAATAATAATGATTGATTGCATTTCATAACAATACCGTTACGTCTGTCGTTTGTACCTACATATCTACATATCTACATATCTACACATCTACACATCTACACATCTACACACATACCTCCTTCAATACCTCCTACCATCCAAGATACCTACTAGGGACTTTACCTTGCCAGCCTACCCAATGGAAAATTGGAGAATTTTATCTTTTCAACTCGAACCTTTCTTCTCTCGAATGAAAAAGTTACCCTTTACCATTTGACGACCATCGATATAGGCAACTGGTTTACTTGCCTACCTACCTACCGACTCACCTAATAGAAGTCAATGGTTTCAATCAGAGATACTTCATATCTTATTATATCAATCATCAATCTTCACTTCACTCACATGACATTTCTCTCTCATCAACTTTGAGATACCTAGTATCATATTATATCATATTATACACTCAAAATATTCACCCGTGTGAAACTCGAAATCGAACTCCCTACCGACTTACCGACAACCTACCTACCTATCTATCTCCTCCTCCTCACATCAAATCAAATCCACACAAATTCACAAATTCACGAATTCACGAATTCAACAAATTCTCATTCCTCGGATCATTTCCGAACCAATAAGATTTTTTTTTCTATCATTTTAATCAACTCCCCCCCCCTCCCCCTTGGTACGTACAAAAATGATACCTACCCAAGTACACATAACCAAAACCTTAAGTTATTAGCCATCTTCGATTCTCTCTACTTTGCTTTGTTGTTCCTTTGGGCTCGGATTCTTATTGATTAGAAGAAGAAGAAGAAGAAGAAGAAGAAGAAGAAGAAGAAGAAAGCTTGGAGAAAAAAATACTTCTAGAATTTCTATTTTCGAATTTCATAAAACTAAAATCTCATACTATCTTCACTATCTTTCTTAGCTTCACTAGCTTTTTTTTTCTCATCATCAATATCCTGGATCTCTTCCTTACAACCTTGTCTTTCTACAGATTCACTTGTCACCGATCTCCCGTCCCTTCCTATAACCGGCCAATACTTAATATTTACCAAATTTTAATTCCTTACTTCAGTTTTCAGCTTTCTTAGCTGTTAAAGCGTCTTTCTTCTTCACGGTGACGCAGCAACTTCTAGGTAGGCTAGCTGCCTGCCTTAGAAGAGCTGCAGTCACTTTACAACTTGAGGTTCTGGCGACGTGAAGAAGATGGCATTGATATTGCCCAAGGGCATTGTGGTCAATTCTCCTCAGATTGGAAGCACCATTGAGAGAATCAAGAATGATCCTTTGGATCTTGCAGACATTGCCAGATTTTGGAAAGGTACCTTGCATATCTTGATCAAAAAGTAAAGTAAAGCATCAAGCTTATTGTCTTCTAGTCTATACCACAACAAAACGAAGACTTCTCGACCCTACAGCTGAGCGGTTAGAGAATTATTGGTGGCGAATATGGGGAAGTCGGAGTCGAGAGCTGGATGCTTCAACTGTTGCTCGCCTTTTCGTCCATATCTCCGAGGGTGACACTTTTGTGCCACTCAGAGGACCACCCAATCGCTATGAAAATGAGAAGCCAATGGTATGCAAACCTATCAATGACCCGTGGAGCCCCATACTGAATTTCGAATCATCAGAATAGTGTAGCCTGTATTGGAAAGACTGCCTCGACAACTTCCGTTGCTCGTGTTCGCAACGATAGCCGATCAAGTACAACGCTGATATCAATCCCTCGGGCACCTGCTCCTATGCCACCTCCAATATTAAAAAAGACTCGAGGTCCTTCTGCAAACGGTCCTCGACCGACTGCACGATTCATATCCCCGCCAGTTTCAGAAGACGAGTCTGGTAGCACAACAAACACGAACAAGAACGTTGTACAATCACCTTCGCCAATTCTTGAGCATACCGCTACTATTGAGGAGAAGATCGAGAAGGAGAAGATTGATAGAAAGTTAATGCCTGCACCGGCAAGTAAGAAATTTGTTGCTTCAGCTTCCAAGAAGAAGAGACCAATTGTTGTCAGGCGACAAAGTTCGCAAACTTCACAGTCTTCGAACGATAGCTCGGCGAGAGTTCCAGGCGGACAAGGACAACAGAATAGAACTTTGGGGAGGCTGCCGACGTTATCTGTACTGCCAGTCAGAAATCAGAACGCGCAAGAGAACGTTACACCGCGGACTACAACCTCGCCTACCAAGCGGAATCCCTCCAGATCGGCCGCTCCAACTGTGGGTGGTTCGCGCAAACTTGCAAGCACTCGCGAGGAGAGTATTGAGATTGAGCCGACCCAGCCTGAGCCTTCCAACAACCTTCAGACACTAGCAGGCAATCAGGTTTCAGTACCTCAAGTCAGTGAGGCTGACTTCAAGGTGCAAAGAATGCTTCACGACAATGTTAAAACAGCCAGCATGTTACCACCTGAAACTTCAAGTCCAGATTCTCCGGCGTCGACCACGTCTAAGGGTTCGAGCAATGGCAAACCCCCTGGTTATAGGAAAGCAAGTGGGAAAAATCTCTTACAACACCAGTCTAAAGGCATGGTCAGCTCGGCGCCAACATTGACTGATGCAACAGGTCACCTCGATCTAGGAAATGGTAACCAAATCGCAGCAGTACCCGCGTCACCAGAGAGACCAAACAAAGGCAAGGCTCGAGCTCTTATGAAAGATCTCTTTACAAAGAAATCATTTTCACAAGCAGCTCCTCCTAGTCCTATATCAGGAAGCTTAGCATCAAGTCCATCGGGACCTTTGAGTAAAAGCAAGTCGCAACTTTCGCTCCTGCTCGAACGAGATCAAGCGAGGAGTTTAGAACCTAGGACATTACCGAAACATGAGCGGAAACAGTCCATGAAGTAATTTGCATGCGATATACGAGAGATCAACGCATAGTTTGTACATATATGATCAATTGGGAGGAGCATGATATGCACGATGAACAAAAGTGTTTCCAAGGCGCATCGTTTCTATCACTGCATCAGAGGCGCGTTTCTGGAGCAGGATTGCTATCGGTGTAATGGATATTGGGGGTCAATAGGTCGCACATCTGGCTACGGAGTTTTGGTAATGATTGCATCTGGGAATGTAGCTTTTGAAATACCTTTAGAAGGGCTTATTATCATGATTAGCGAGGAAGATCAGCACCCCCATGATTTACATGCAATACAAGTAATTGATAAGGCCTGGCTGGTAAGGCTGTGCATGGTTGTAGAAAAAAAATGGTAAAGTGTAAATCATCTGGGCCCGAACTATTTAATTATATGATGTATTAATATTCTGGGGCAAATGATGAGTATTGGTATTTGAAGTTTTTATTTCCATGTACTCATTAACAATATAGTAAGTATCAATTGTACAAATTGACTCAACTGCATATTGTACATAGCCGATTGGTAGAACGGGTAAAGGCACCGAATTCTCCCCCCCCCCGGGAGATCTCTTGGCTTCATAATCTTTTATATTGCGAGTATATGCACAGCGTAGAATACAATAATTTTTGATAAATCAAAAAACAATCTGCCGTTACACGATGCGCAACCCTATTGTGTACTGTATGCATATAAAGAGAGAGACCTCGTTCTTATATTTTAGATATCAGCACTCTGTAGTCTTTCCACAAGTATTAGATTAGATTTACCGCCATTCGGCCCATGCCGAAAATCATGGAGGGAACGACGCTTGGGGGAATTAAAATAACCTCAAGTCCCGAAAAGTCACTAAATTTAAAGCATTTTGATGGATTGATTCTCACGTTTACATGTTTAACTTCCCAGTCCACTTCACTCCACCACATTTCTTCATTTTAGTGATGAGGAAATTCAAGGTTTTCTTTGCGGTGCACGGGATTGTGAATTGGATGTCTGAAAACATGGTTGAATTCGAGGATTGGTGATGAGGGATCTGTCTCTATTCGTTCGGCCAAGGTATGGATAGTGGGGGTGAGATGGAAGGAGGCTCGTCATTGTGGATAGGGTGTTCAAGGGGTTCTTTGATACGAAGAGGTTTTTTTGTTCGTTTTTTTTTCTCGGTCTGGGATGGGGAGATGAATGGTGGTGGGTATGCGGCTTCTTTTTGTTGGAAATTTTTTGGTTCGGTCTTTCGTGCGCTTGCTTGCTTGGCTCTTTCGGATAGTGGGTGAGGAATGTAGGGTATCCAATCCATACAGATATGGAGCGGTTATCAGTGTAAGCCCGCCACAATCGATGCTCGCAAAGGGTAAAGAAACTAGCTACGTGTGGAGTATGTATCTCTGCGGCGTGAGATTTGTATTTCGGGTAATGGATGGAATTTGACGTAAACGTTACATTGGCATTCCCCCTTACTTGTACTTACTCATCGGATTCTCTTACGTCTTGAACTTTTTTTTCTTTGACGTTGTGCATTCCTTTTCATCTTCATGCGTGGAAGAGAATCGGTATCAATATGGCGATTTTTCACGAATTGGCCATAGCGACTGCGCGACGACCTTATCCGTTTGTCCTCGCGCTTCTCCTCACTCTCCTCGTCTTCCTCTGGACCACTGGACCCAAAAAGTTTTCTCCAGCGCCGCTCCCAAGGATATATACCCCCACCGTCGGCCATGGATCTGATGCGCAACAGGATTCGGAGTATATCAGTGGACGATTTGGAATCGACGGGACGTGAAATTACACGAGAGGTTATCGGAATTTGTTCTTGATGCAAGAGCAGTGCGATGTCGCGTTCCCGGGACTCTTTGAGGAGGTGGAGAGACCAGTTAAGCTGAGGAAGAATAAGAAGGTGATGAGGAAGGAATCGGATGATACGCCGGCGTTGAATGGGTTTATCCGGGCCATGATTTTCGATCAGCAGGTTTGTGTTCTTGGTTCTTTCTCTATCAGCAATCCTGTCGACGGCATAGGAGAGCTTGATCAGATAGACATAAACTAACAAGAAGATAGTTATATATAATCGACACGTACGGGAAAATCTACTCCCGCGGCATCGCCACCCTGCATGCTCTCCACCGCGCAATGCTCACCTCCCCGGAGCCCCTCCCCAACATCGAATTTACCATGAACGTAGACGACAAGATGGAAGGACATTCGCAGTGGCTCTACGCACGACAAGCCAAGAATGAAGAAACGTGGCTCATGCCCGAATACGGGTTCTGGTCGTGGCCCGAGACGAAAATCGGGAGCTACGGAGAAATGCAGATGAAAGCCATCCTGACCGAGAGCGAGTGGCCTTGGAGTCGGAAGATGGATAAATTGTTGTGGCGCGGCGCGACGATGAGCTTGGAGGTGCGCAAGAAATTCGTTAATGTGACCGAGGGGAAGGCGTGGGCGGATGTGAAGACGTTGGATTGGCATAATGAGGGGAGTATGAAGAATGATTTGAAGAGTATGGATGAGCATTGTCAGTACAAATTTCTGGCGCACACGGAAGGAAACTCCTATTCCGCGCGACTGAAGTATCTGCGGAATTGTCGATCGGTGATTGTGGCGCATGAGTTGGAGTGGATGGAATTTTTCCATCCGTTGATGAAGAAGGATGGGCCGGAACAGAATTACATCGAAGTAGATAGGGAATTTGAGGGGTTGGAAAGGAAGATGGTGGAGTTGATTGAAGGGGAGGATCAGAAGGGGATAGAGAAGATTGCGGAGAGGAGCGCGAGAGTTTTCAGAGAGAGATATCTTACGCCGGCGGCGGAGACGTGTTACTGGAGACGCTTGATTAGGGGTTGGAAAGAGGTGATGGGGTTTGAGGTGGAGTTTTTTAATGTGACGAAGGGGGGGGAGAAGAAGTGGAGGGGGGTACCGGTGGAATCTTTTCTGTTGGAGAGGAGGTTGGAGTGGGATCCTTATTAGTTTTGGGGTATAGACGAGGGGGGAGAGGGGTGTAAATGAGGGGTAAGGTGCATATGCATATGCATGAATACTTAATATTTTGCATTTATTGGGATAGATAATAAGGTTCTTGGGACTGAGCACGTATGAACTTTTAACGCAAGAAATTCTCCATGTTATCATCATATAATGAGACGGAAATGAAGATATGGATAGAGACAGTTTGGAGAGAAACCTGCGGAAGCGATAAGGTTACATAGCACGTGCATATAGTCGGTTCAATTCAAGACTTGATCTGTACATTAATGAAATCGACATTTTTGCTCAAAAATTATCAGTTTATGAAATTATCAGCTCGTGAACCCCCTTATCGCCTCATACCATAAATCAACTACTTACTGTACCTACGCATATAAAACTGATCGTCCGACTTAGTATTATATTATTTAATAAGGTAGGTAGCTAGAGTATCTGTATGACATACAAAAACACTATCGACACCACAACTCAACCTCCGAATGTAAAAACTATCCGCAAACCTCAGGTTAACCGATATCCCTACATCGTGCACGCCCCTGTATCGTGCACACTTTTATTTCTTTTAAAAAAGATATTCTAAATTCAATATATAATTAATCAATCATTGAGTTCTATTAATAATTATATATAATATATTATATTACTATTTATTTCTTATAAAGTAATCAAAATATAAAAATAATTATTATATATAATATAATTTCAATATTAAAATTATTAATACAAAAATATTATATATTAATTTATTTATTAATAGAAATAACGAAAATTGATTTTCAATTTCTTTTTTATAAATTTGAATATATTTTAACATAAAGAAATAAAAAAATCAAGTTTTTATATTATAAGTTTGATATTATATCAATATATTATTTAAGTTTTCATAAATAATCTTTTTTTTAAAAAAAATTGATTATAAATCAAGTATTTTATGATAATTTTTAATTTTTTCAAGTATATAATATTATTAATAGATTATTTGATTAGAAAACTAAAAATAACTATATTTTATTAACTATATATATATATATTATCAATTATTAAAAAATTATAAATTAAATATTAGGATTATATAATTAATAATAAGATATTTCTAAAAAGATTTTTTTTTTAAAAAATTTTAAAAACGGAATTAATTTGAATATTAATAAAAAATAGAATATATTATAATATTAAATTATAATTATATTTAATCTGTAAAATTATTAGAAATATTATAAAATTTGGGATTTTTTTTAAAAAATAAATTCTTTTAAAAATAGATTTATAATTCTTTAGTTTTTTAAAAAAAATAATAGATTTACTTTATTGAAAAATTAGAATATTTTATTTCATTCTTATTTTTTCGTTTATATATTAAGTTATAATATAATAAGTTTATAGTTTTACTTATTTATTATTTTTTTATAATTTTATTATTCTTATATTATATATTTTCTAATATATAAAAATTCTATTTTCTAATTAAAATCCAATAATAATTTCAAATTCTTAAAATCTATAAAAAAACATTTTAAAATATTTTAAAAAGAATTTTTAAATTCTTTTTATTTTTTTGAATATTATACATATTTTTGAAATTATATTTAAAACTTAATTTTTTATATTTTTCAGAATTCCAAGCTTTTTTTCAATAATAATAATATAAATTAATTTAAAAAACTTTATTTTTAATAATATAAATTTATTCTAATATAAATTTTTATTAAATTATTAATATTTTAAAATATTATTTTTTAAAATCAATTAATATTCTATTTGATATTTCAAATTTATCAAAAACTTATTATTATATTTAGCTAATCTTCAATCTGTTTTTTATAAATTTTAATATTATTATAAACAGTTTTGGATTTATAATCAATTTTTAATTCAATAAATTAAAGCGTGCAAGATACAGGGTCGTGCACGATGCAGGGATATCGGTTATATCATTAACACAGTGCAATACCTAGCTCCCTAGGTACACACAAAAAGAACGTAAATTAGATACGAGAGAGAAATAAAAGTTACGAGTAAGTTACGAGACAAAATACCGGATTGTAACGTACCGTCTGCTGTCTCATTTCCATCCCACCTATTTCTAGCAGATGCTACCTTGTGCGCAATGCGAACATGGTTTGCACATGGCATTGCAACATTTGCATCTTATGATGTGCATGGAAGTTTATGGTTGTTTCTTGGCTGGGATGGGATGAGAGAGATTACTTGGATACGTATCAAAGGTTACTAACGCGAGGCTCGCCGAGACTCGCGCTAGTGAGATTGCTTGGATGTTGAATTGAGGATGGATGTTTGCTTGGCAGATTGGAGAGTGAGATGAGATGAGACGAGATGATTAGGCTAATGTTACATGCAGTAACATCCTGAAGAATCCAATATCGGGAACCCTAACCCTAATATCTGATACCGCGTTATAACGTGCGAAATGAAGTATGACGTATGGTTGAATGGTTGACAAAAAGTATTAGTGGAAAGGATTTCCAGATGCAGAACTCAATTGCATTCGAAATGAAGTCCTCCGAGGAGATACTTCCAGGACAATGAGACTGACTCACAACTGTAGCTGTGATATACATCCGATTTTCCGAGCAGGACGATCATTTGGCACTGAAAGATACCCTGTCCAGCGCAAGCATATCACCAACTTCTCGGCGAAAAATCCCAAGAACCCCAATTGAAACCCGCGCGAATCGATTGAGCGAAGGAAAGAATCCATACACAGCTCAAAGATGAAAGAATTAGCGAAACGATGTGGAAGCTAAGACTAGTATGTGACACGACTTGTACATTGCATTTGATATATCCGGAAGTGGTGTTTCGCCTGGGATGAGGGTCACCACCGGAACCCGAGTAACTATACCCCCAAGGGCCGAATTTCAAGGCTGCTATCCTTACACAACTTTTTGGGAATGGGTGAGGTGATGTTGAGCTGAAGAAAGCTGGATGTTCGATTAAATGAGGCGAAGGTGCATGTGTATGACGAAATAGACGAGGGATTGCCAGATGGGTGGTGTGGTGGTGTGGTATAGTGCAGAGGGCAGTAGATAGGGGATGAACATTGTATGGATGGAAAATTGTACGAGAAGGTGGGAGAGAAATCTGCCTAATGCTCCTTTCTGTTGACAAAAGAAAGATTCTAGTGTGGGATTAGATGGCCAGAGGAATGTTCTCCTTCAAATCCTATCCATGAGGAGTTTCGATTGCAGATTCCATCCACATTCCATCATATGACGGGAATGGGATTGTTCTATTCCCATCCACGTCCATCATCTCTTCTCTTCTCTTCTCTTCTCCTCTTTATACTATCCGACCTCGATTCCAGTGTTCCTCCAAAAATAAATATTGAAGAACAGAATAGAACAGAGACACAACGTGGCGTCCAGGTTTCCTCGCCGTGATGTGATCCATCGTTAGGGCTGTGCATGTTACCCAAGAAAAAAAGAGGTTCCCACCAGGGTTTAAAAAAAATTCAGGGTCCAATACACACGTTCCCGGGACCCCCGTACCTGAAAAGTGCATTTGCAGATGCGACGGTAAAATGGTTGATAAGTACCTACCTGGTATTCGTATGTATCTCGGATAAAAAGAATCGGGGTATGAATTGAATGTATGAATGAATGGATGGATGAATCGAGAAGTCGGTCGGTATTGATTGGCACGAGAGAGCATATGGATGATTAATCATAGAAAGTTAAAATCGAGTAAGGTTTGAGTCAAGAGAGGACAAACGAAATAAGGGTCGCATCATGGAAAGATGTTTAATTTTTGTGTTTAATTTCTTTTGAGAATATCGTTTTTTCTAGTGTGCTTCCTAATTCACTGGGTTGGCGTTGGGAAAATGGGAAGGTGGCGTCGACTACCTATTTTCATCACAGTCTTTATTTAGGTATTGATTTGAATAAATATACTCGAGGATTGACTGACTGACTATATTATTTATTATATTTGCTATTTTCTTCACTCCGCTCTTCTTTTGATATATCTATCCCCCTTGGTCCTTTTTTGTGCTCACTCTCCTATTTCTTCATAGATAGACAATACATCGAAACCATCATCTGTCTCCTATATCTCTCTGTATCTATATCTATATCTCTCTCCAATTTCACAAACTTCTATTCAACACCCGGAGTATAAGAGAATCTCATTCGTACCCTCCCTGCCTATATAGATACCTAGCTATCTATCTATCTATCTATCTATCTATCTACCTGCATTTGCCAGGCCAGACATACCGGCGTACACCCGCCCGGGAGGAATAATAGATGATCCGGATAAATTACCACCCTACTGCGATCAACGGCACCACCCCCCAAAATATCACATATCACATAAACAAACCACCGGGCAACCCAAGAGTCAGCCAGACGAAACGGTGCGGATTTTGGTGCCTCATAAACGATTCGACTCGATCCTCTTGATATATATATATATATATATATATCATTATTACCTATCAAATATATACAACTTATATCTATATCTATATAACTTCACCAATCTTCCCTTTTCACTTCCTTTCACTTCGCTTCGCTGTTAATTTTGGTCTTTTGGTTTTTGGATCTTACGAAAAAAGAATACGTATCTATAAGAATCTTTTACATACCTACTACTCGTACCTAGGTATATCCTACCTGCATATTATACATCCATCCATCCATCCCAACCTTCCATATATCCATATAAATAAGTCGCTCCGAGTCCGAGGCAATTTTTTTTTAGAAAAGGCGAAGATTTCCATTACACCACTTACAAGTTACCACTGAGTACTCACCACTCACTTCCCTACCTACGGAACGGAAACAACCTTGAAAGATTAACCGCGGAAACTTATTGGCCCATCCAATTTTTTGAGGGGGAATTCAAAAAGCAGAGCCCTCGCTCACGCAACGCGTCAAACGAAACGAAACGAAACCAAACGATCCTCTCCCTCACATCAACGTTCAACGTCCAACTTGCATATATATTACTTCAAGCCACCAACAAGTGCTGTTGAGCTTATTGACCCTTTTTTGATTATTCTGACTATTATTATTATTTTATTTTTACCATTATCCCAACCCGTTTTGGTTTTCTGTACTAGACTTGGAGAAACGTTACGTTACGACTCGATTTATTTTATCTATATATATTTAAATATTTTTTGCTGATTGTATTTTTGGGGGGTACTTGACGTTACTAGATCTCTTTACACCTTTTTGCTTTATTTTGAGCTGAAAAGTGGTGGAAAAGGAATTTTTTTTGTATGCGATATTGTTTTTATTTATTAAGAGGGGAGAAGTGAAAATCACTAGATATTGGATCGGACACCTCGTGTGAATTTTTTTGATATCTTGGGAATATTTCGTACAGACGTGGATACGTGTGATAGCTATCTATCTATCTATCACTATCTGTATAGATATATATCAAGAGGGATCGGAGGAAAGACAATTATCAGATTTTCATTCAAGATGGCGACGAGGAATTCACAGTAAGTTTTTTTTTCTTTCCTTCCTTTCTTTCATTCTTTCTTGCTTTCTATCTTTTTTTTCGAGGCTTGGGGTCGGTGGTTGGTGCATGGAACGCACGGAGGTATGAATCAGGGGTAAAGCTTTTACATTGGGGAGGGTTCGGAAAAGATAGCTGGCTGATATGGTGATTGGTGATTTTTAGGAGAACTTATCACATTGTGGTTTTGGGTGCTGGTGAGTTTTCTTCTCCCTTGATATCCCACCCTCTTTATTCAATTGTTCGATTCAAGAGAATGATCGATTATAGAGAGAGAGATGTATCAATTGAAGACAGAATGTTGATGGCTAATTATTTTTGTTCGTCTGCAAAGGTGGTGTTGGCAAGAGTTGTCTAACCGGTAAGGATCATTTTTACTTATTTGCCGAGACCTTGACCCACTCTCCTCCGGGGACTTGAGTTGAGTTTGGGGGGGTTGGAATTTTGGAAGGTCGAAGTGGGGAGACACGTGAAAGGAACGAGAGATGGAGATTCGGGAATTCTCAGGAAGGGATTGTCAGAATATGCAGTGAAGATACTGATATGTGATTTGTGTCCTTTTAGCACAATTTGTTCAGAATATATGGATCGAAAGTTATGACCCAACGATTGAGGATTCCTACCGCAAGGTTATCGAGGTTGATGTGAGTATTTTGAAATTTCTTCTCCGTCTTGGCATCGAGGTGGAGACACATGATCAGGATGCTAACGCGGCCTTTTGCTTTGATAGGGACGACAATGCATGTTGGAGATGTGAGTTTATCTTATCCTCTCACGGGGTCAAGAAGATGGTACTGATACGAAGAAATGTAGATTAGATACCGCGGGTACGGAACAATTCAGTAAGTCCTTCTCCTCATCTTCCTCATCACATGATACTTAAACATAAACTAACACTCTTCCAGCCGCCATGAGGTACATACCAAGCAATTCTATTTCACTCCTCTCTTCCACTCATTCTTTCCCGAATCCCCCACTCACACATTCTCCCCAGAGAACTCTACATGAAAACCGGACAAGGATTCCTCCTCGTCTTCAGTATCACATCGCAAAGCTCCCTCAATGAACTCAGCGAACTCCGCGAAACCATCATACGTATAAAAGATGACGAAAATGTCCCGATAGTGATTGTCGGGAACAAAAGTGATCTGGAACAAGATCGGATGGTTAGTAGACAGGCGGCTTTTAATGTTAGTCAGAGTTGGGGGAATGCGCCGTATTATGAGACGAGTGCCAGGAGGAGGGGTAAGTTTTTTTCTCTTCTCCTTTTCTTTTTTCTTGTTGAGATAAATATGATTGTGAAGGTGCCGAAGGATAAAGAATGAAGTGTGTCGGAAAGGGGAAATGAGAATGCGAGAAAAAGATGACGGATAGAAGTTAGCAAGAAAACCCATGCTAATGGAAACGAAAAATAGCAAATGTAGATGAAGTCTTCATCGATCTCTGCAGGCAAATCATCCGTCGGGACAATAATCGATCGACGCCAGAATTCGATGATGAAGTCAATTCGCCGGTGGAGAAAAGACATCATCGGATGAGACGGTTGGGGAGATGTGTGATATTATGATTGTCTTTCCTGAATGGGCGTCAATGGGTGGGTGTTGTAATTTGATGATTGGCGTGTCTGGGATGGAGGGGATCGGTTGGGGTGTTGTATCATGGGATTGTATGTATGTATGTGTGTGTGTATGTATGAGTGGATATAGGAAGGATGTGAGGATGTGTGGATTACAAACGATTGAGGGGATGGAATTTCCTCAGATAGAGGAGAGGGTAGTGGAAGGAGGAAGGAGAAAAGTCTTTTCTGATATATAGAGTCTTGAAATAAAGATGAGATGATGTTGAGATAATGAGAAGGAAGATCTTTGATGATTGTTTTTCAATTGTGCATTTTGGGAGTGTGAGGCTTGCATGCTTGGGAATGGTTTGGGGGAAGGGTATACATATACATGCACATGTGTATGTGTATGTGTATATGTATATACCCGACACTAGGGATTCTAGACGGAGAATCAAAGTCACGCAAAGAAAGAGATTCTTTGCCAGGCTTCGGGATATCAAGTTAAAGAGAGGAAGGGGAGAGGGGGAGGTTAGATGCCATCCTAGATGGAAATCAATATCGAAAACACAGTCGAAGAAGAGAAAGAGAGAGCGCGTGTCTGTTTCTCGATCTGCCCACTGTAAAAATAATATTGATATCAATAAGTAGGTAGATCTCCAGACACCAAAGCAACCCAAAAGCAACCCAAACCAATTCAAACCAGAGTAATAAATAAACTGCACCTGAAATCATTTATCTATATCTATATCTATATCCACATCAACATCCAAGCTCCAAGCTCCCGGTTCCACTCTAGACCCAGACCCAATATATCGATTTCGATTTCACTTCCAAACCTCCCGCGCTCTCTCTCTCTCTGTGGAAAAGGTATGTTGAAGTGCAGTGTTACTGTAATAATATATCATATCATATTGTTTATATCTTCAATTTTGATGCCAATTCCAATTTCAATCTCATGTATATATTATATGTAATATATCTTTGATTTTGCAGATTCGATTCGATTCGATTTGATGCGTGAGGTATGTATATATGCATGTATGTATGTATATCCATTTCAGAAATGCGCGAGGTTAAAGATAGCATGGGAGTGATACATATATATACAGTGTGGAGTTTGAAATTTAGGATTTGGAGTCGAGTGGAAGTAGAAGGATTATATTGTGGGAAGATGATATGTACTAAATAGGTAGGTATTTAATATATCAGGGGACGTTTTACTTCAACTTCAACTTCAAATAATATATATTCCAAGCTCACCCAAGACTCCTACCCCGAGCAACCAATCCGTACTCTCTACCGGAATCCTCAAAATAAATCGACATTAATCGAATCGCGATAGATGTACAATTCTCGAGATGGCGATGATGATGTATCTGCTACCCACCGCTACGTCCATGAATCAACGTACGTTTTCCACACTCGCACTCACTCACTATATTACCCAAAAGCCCATTAGCAGCAAGACATATTATTCTTCTTCTTCGTCTAAACAGCAATAATAAAATCGAAAAGGCCCATCTAACAATACCTACTGGTACACAACTATCGAATGCAATATCACCAATTCGAAACTCTAATTATATTATTGGGAAGAGGAAGAGATGATATCGTTCGTGTAGCCCCACTCACTACCCAACGACGCACGAAGCCAATGCACAAAGTACTGCGACTGCGACACCTCGGTCTCCACTTCGAGAGTCTGGAACGGGTGAATTTGACTTTTCCTGAAAGATACTGGTATCGGTATCGTGTTCGTCTCAATTTGTTTGTGGCCCTGAAACTTTGAGGTAGATAGATAGAAATGAAAAACTAGGGACCGTTGGATAGGACATGCAAAACATTTCTAAGTAAAGTCTGAAGAGAGAGAGAGAGAAAAAAAAGGAAGTAAAATGCAATTGTAACCCAAAGCAGGTCTCTGATTGATATTGATTCACTACCCGGATATAAGCCGATGAAATTTTGTTATCATCCAGCTGCCCACCCCCAAAATTGAAATCCCCAAAAATCGTCGCTATGCACTCAACCTTTCGAGCTTCACCTCTGTTGCCTCGAACCTGTCTCCAAAATGCACATGGAAAAAAATTAAAAAGTTGCAACTGCCGTGAATCGAACACGAACCTCCACCTTGGAAGGGTGGAATCCTAACCATTGGACCACAGAAGCTAGGTAAGAAATCAAGTTGTTTGCCTGATTTGATGCTCAGGATACGTCAGTAAAAACATATATTTAGAGCGGAAGACAATGAGAGTTTGAAGCGAAGAATTACCAAATCAGTTGTTGTGATTGGTTGATTGACTCGAGCTGTGGACGTACACCCCAACGAAACGTCTTTGTGAATTGTTTTCAAAGCGGATTTTGGGCTTTTTGCAGAATAGTCGTGATAAAAATGGATGAATGGGATGGACGTATATGATTCTTAGATTTGCATGAGATGGTTTTTGCGAAATATTGGGAGGAGGACTGTTATGAAAGGAAATTCTATCAATCTACTCGTTTTCTAACATGAAAAGATGTTTGCGAAAGACGAGAAAACAAAATATTTGAAGCTATTCGAGTATTCTTGATATCAATTTTTTACTTGAACATTGTAGGTTCTGGTTTCGCGATTGATATGAGCACTAAACTGCTTCAATGCTTTCGCTTTGAGAAGTTTAAGACTACAGTAATCAACAGCTGTCTATAGAATATGGAGATATGCAGGTTCTCATCTCATCAATAATGATGCAGTCATGACTATGTGAACATCCGTCTCTACCGATTGAAGGGTTTGTCTCAATTTTGTCAGATGGTAACATCTTTCGAATGTAGAGTGTCTGAAAAGCCACTGGTATGATTGATCGTGTAGTGCGTGGAACTCTGGATCTCACTTATTCTCCGAGGCATATTTGAACATTGATTCAATATACGAAGCAGGGGAGGAAGAGATGGAAGAAGCCTACCAATCATATTGGCCACACCATGTCTCGCAATCTCAAATCCTATTCCCGGGAGTGAGTTTCTGAAGACCAAGAACGAGTTCGAAAGCCTTCACTCAGGGGAAGAGTGGATGAACATCCGGAAGGAAACTATCGTCAGCCGCACCTGACACCAATGACGATAAGCTGATGCAGAGAATACCCCTCATATTACCATCCCACTCGAGCCGACCGCCACTGTAATTTCTTTGGCTTTCGTATCTAAGAAAAGGGTAAGCTCGTCAATGCACTCCAGTACGAATGCTGGAAAAGAGATGTTGATGTAGGTACGTACCCGAGTACCCAAAGATTGACCATACAGTAAGTGATCTAACCGTTTGATCACTGTAAGAAGATGGAACTTGGCTACAGTAATAATATTCGACCATCGTTTTGAATGCTAGCTTATATTCCGAAAGTCTAGACCAACACGATCATATAAGTAAACCGTTTCAAATGCTTCGTCATATCAATCTATCTATCAATCTGTCAATTAACTTATCAGCAGATCAAACATACGACCAAAACGATAGATTCCAGAATGGCGGGATAATACAAAATCTTCATGGCCGTTCATAATCATCTTGTCGACCCAACCAATTTGTTTGTAACTACACCCCTCGTACTCTGTGTCTTCTCAAGCCCCGTGTTACATAGCATCCATCCACCATCGTAGTCGAAAAGGATATAAAAAACCAAGAAATTGAATGAATGGCAAGGATTGGGTACATCTTCCGGCTGACAATCCTTGAACCTTGAAATCTCTTGAAAAGGAATAGTAGAAATGGGTGAAGCTTGCATCTGCAGGGTTTTTGGTGGGATGTGGGTCCAACATCTTTTTTTCGAGCATTCGAGCTTTTAATTCAGAGATTGAAAGTCGGCCGTCAAAAGGTTCCAAGAGTCAAAGCTCCCTCGGTCCCTCGCTCCTTATTATCATTTGTGTCTTCCCCCACACTAATCATATTTCAACGATCCTGATTCCTCACATCTTTTCCATAACCAGTTTTGGGCCCCAATTAAAATTGAGATAATTGTTCCGTAGCCTCCGTTAGACTTTTGGTAGAGATGAAAATGAAACGGTCCGCACATTGGGACGTGCGAGATAGAGATAGATGGATGATGCATTGTTGGATGGATGGATTGGATATGGATGAATGTGAAATTATCATACCTACCTAGTAAGTATCGATATCTTTCTGTCTGTCTGATTTCACAAGGCGCCTGCCTCCTTTTCTGATCTTCTCTTTTGTTTTCTTATTCGAGTTCGAGTTTGAGATGCAAGGTTCGTCTTATGACATCGAAGTATACTTCATATCAAAATTTAATCTTCCTACCCTGAGAAACTCAGTCCCAAATCAAACGAAAAACGAATAAACTTTTTAGTTTCTGAGACACTCTCACGGGTTGCGACTCCATGTATTCACAAACCCTGAGAGCATTAACTCTTGAACTGCGTTCCCCTGGTCTTTGAGAGCCAATCAGCCTGTCAACAATGATAAAGCGTTTATCGAGAATCCGTTTGGTGTAACGGTAACAAACAACTCCCCCCTCCTGTTATCACTCGTGGCATCCTGGCTTCAGTCGAGCTCATCCCCAGAAAATCATTAAATGCACGTTGCCTATATCTGCAAAGAAGGGTTGGATCAGCAACATTTGTGAGACACGAGACCAACATATCATTGCGACAAATGGTTTGGATAGCTCCCAACAAACGAGATCCCTTATTCCTTTGAGAGCGAGACTAGTCTGGGTAATTCAATATTTCAAATGTCCAGCATAGGATTAATTTGATTCTACTGATATATCTGTCTGGTATGGAAATCTCCGAACTCAAGATGGAATACTCCCACACTAAAAGCAATAGAAACATCAATCGAAAAAATAATAGTCGAGGGGTATCACAAAGGAAAAGATGAATGACGGATCTCTTTATTATCCGAATTGGGACGAATCGGAGAAGAAACCAACTTCTCTTCTATCAAGTTTCCGAGAATCGACTAGTTTCACAACCTCGAGATATCATTATTGACGATCATTGGAGATTTCGAAGATGTGTGTCGCCCTGCTTCAAGGGTCCAAGGATATCAAGGATTTTTGAAAAGGCTCGTGAAATTACTGGATGTTGAGCGAAAGAAGAAAAAGGGTTAAAGGGTTATGGGTGTGTACAGTTGTAGCAGCAGGTAACCGACCGGCTTCTATTTATTCCTTTCCTTGAACGGTAATCGAAATCATCTGATTCGATTTTAATACTTACCTATACAGAAAAATGATTAACAAAAAGTTTGAGTAGATGAAATACAAAGTCGAGATTTGATGATATTCTCTGTCTGTCTGTATATTAAAAAAGACGATCTCTGCATTGACCAACAATCTAGAGCTCTAACAAGTTTCCCCATATTCCAAACGAGTGAGCATGAAAATCAGACAATCAGGAACATGGAACATGGAAGACTTGGCCCTCTATCTATTACCACCCAGTCCTCGGAAAGTATAGATGGGAGCGAGGAGACAGGGAGGAGATGAGGAAAATAATTAGGTATAATCGGGTAGGAATGGAGCACTAGCATTTATTGTAGAGCTTTGAATGCTAGATAGATAGATAGATAGATAGATAGATAGATATGTAGGCGGCTAGCTATATACTATTCCATTCATTAATGTTTGAATGGCATTTAAAATTCTCCAAGACCCCAGATACTCGCTCGTGTATATAACATACCCAGATTGAACAACCTATGAGAGACGTTACCAGAGATTCATTATTAGGTATCGATTATAACCCAGGATTGTTTTGTACATTTCACCTCACTTGCATCCATTGCTACTTTGCATCCAAATCCACCACTAGTGCATCTACATCTACAGATACGCCATCCGCATGCCAATTCCCATGCCATCCCGCACTTTCCAATATGTAATTGATATACTGTCTCGTCTAGGTGAACACTTTGCCAGGCTAAGGTTATTTCTGTTTATTTCCCTTGACGATGAACAGCAGCTTACCTCAGAATTTATATTTATTTATATGATTGTGATTTTTTCCAAGAGAGGGTGCTCACTTCCTCTGACCCTACCTACCTACTCACCTAGTAGATACTCTTCCATAATTGATTTCACATCTGTCTCTCCCTAATTGCAGACTTGCTGTGTGTCTGTGTGAGTGTGTGTGTGTGTGTGTGTGTGTGCAAAGAAATCCCGCTATCTGCATGCTGCACGAGCTAAATTAGCTTCAGTGTATCTTATCGAGTATAAACCAATAGCAATTCTTGGATTCTTTCTTCTCCACACAATCTTCCTAAAATCCCCAAAGTAATCACCTAGAAACCCCCCCTCTCCCCCCCAAATTTCGATCTTTGAACAGTCCACCTACCTCAAACCTCTTTTTCCCATACATCACATCACATCACCTCACCTCACCTTACCTTCCTTACCTTACCCTCACTATCACTACCAACAATAATCATAAGAAAGAAAAGAGAAAGAGAAAGAGAAAGAGAAAGAGAAAGAGAAAGAGAAAGAGAAAGAGAAAGAGAAAGAGAAAGAGAAAGAGAACGAGAAAGAGAAAGAGAAAGAGAAAGAGAACGAGAACGAGAACGAGAACGAGAGCGACAATTCCAATCCTCCAGCCATTTCTTCATTCCATTTGCAAAGAAGAAGACTTTTGACGCCAACCTCCATACTTCTTTTAATACTATCCAGTTACACATAATTCATTCTCACCTATCAATTCTTCGTGCCCATCCATTCTTTGATTGTAAAGGTCGAAAAAGGCTACCACCACCAGCCAACTTTCTTATCAATCCATCACAATATTATCTCGTCATTCTTACATACCTACCTACTTCATACAGTACTTTGATCCCAACCTTTTACAATTAAATCGTACACAATTGGAAACGATCATCTAATTCACATCGCAAGACACATCTTCTCAAATTAATATGAACATCATTTCAATTACATTTTAATACACGCGCGCGAAAGGATAGAAAGGTTTCCTTGGGATAGTGGAAACCTACCTACCTAAACTTCCTCGTTCGGTCGGTACATCGCACGGTCATCATTCATCGTCAGGTACCGCATATTTGACAAGTCAACTCGTACGAATCTTATGATTCCAATAGAAAGAAAGATTTCCATCAATTAAATCAATACAATTACGATATTTGTACAAAGAGCAACGAGATCACACACTAAGGCCTTCTTACCACACTTCATACTCTTACCATCATCTATTGCGCAAATCTCATCAACCCGCAATAATACACACTCACACCTCACCCACACTCGACTTTTATCCCACACTTCACTTACATTCATACATACACACATACACATCCACATCCACACACGCATACATACAACCAAGAATTCCAACCAACCCATTTGCGCGAAAGCTTCCTTATCGTTGCGATTACCACTCCACTCTAATCTTATTTCGATAATCAACCTTCTCACCCGCATCCGCCCCCTACCACTTTCTTACCCGAACACCACATAACCTTCGAGCGAGCGCGTCAACCAGCACTACGGTCGCAAAAGCATCCAAGCCTTTTGTGATCTCCCTACACGTTCAACACTCATCATTCTGCAGAGAAAGAGTTGAAACAAAAATCCAATAATTATCAAGATTTCGTTTTCGGCCCATCTTCTTTATTTGCGACACCTCGAGTTTCTAAGCAATTACAACCCTCGACATTTTAATCACAAAACCACCACTTAGCACGATTTTATCACCAGAGAATGCCATGAACGCCCAAGTGTTTGTCCCACAAGGCCAGGCCTTTCGTCAATCCAATAACAATCAACAACCATATCAATCCTTATCGATGGCTACAATGAATGCCTTCGCATTAGACACTTCATCGCAAAATACTCCACAATCGAATGGTGGCGCATCATTTACATCGGGGCCGTGTTCCGTTTTAATCCGTCGTTTACCATCGAATACCACTGAAGATGCACTACGATCAATGGTAGTATGGTCTAAAGAGTTCACTGAAGCTGAAGTATTGTCTCCAGAGAAATCTGATGATGCAGGTTTCCGAGCTGCTATTCTCCACTTCAAGTCCCATGCGGGCGCGCTCGAGGCTAAGAACATGCTTGATGGAAAACCAAATATTGCAAACGATGCGAATATGGTGGTGGAAATATTTTATGGAAGTCCCACCACCGCTCGTCGATATACTGTCGATACGAACACAAACGCTGGACCATCCAGCTCCACTTCCTCCACGGCTTCTTCAGCGGGTCCGACCCCTCGACAATCTTCAAGATTCAACAATTCCTTCACATCTGCACAAAGAGTTTCACCTACAAATAACAATGGAAACTATTCAAACAATGAATTGCCAAATCCCGAGTCGAGTGCTCGCTATCAAAATTTGTTCTCTCCGCAATCTCCCATTGGAAATCACCTCAATGATCGCCCCCGCATTACAGGCAAGTCATTGATTAATAACGATTCCGGCGAAGATGACGAGACAGGCGAACTTCTCAAAGACCCAGTGGCTTATGCTGAAAATGGAGCCACATCTAGTCAAACACGACGCCCGACTAACCCTCAAATTCCCATCACCACCCGTATGGCAAGCTTATCTCTGGCGACGAACAATGCTGGAGGTCCAGCTTCCATGTCATCTTACGCGTCTCAGCAGACTATGCCAACCATGGCAAATGCGAACACCAAGTCACCGGTATCACAACCGCCTCAACACTACCAACTTGGAAGTCAACACTATCACCGCCATAATTTCCCACCTGTCAATCCTGCTGACCAAAATCCTCCATGCAATACTTTGTATGTTGGTAATCTTCCAATCGATACTTCAGAAGATGAGCTCAAGGCCCTGTTCTCAAAGCAGCGTGGATACAAGCGCCTTTGTTTTAGGACCAAGCAAAATGGTCCAATGTGTTTTGTAGAATTCGAGGATACTTCTTTTGCGACGAAAGCTCTCCATGAACTATACGGCCATCCTTTGCACAACAGCATCAAGGGTGGGATTCGTCTGAGCTTTTCGAAGAATCCTCTTGGTGTTCGATCTGGTCCAGGAATGGTATCGCCAGGTCCCGCAAATGTACCAGGCGGCATACATGGTATGAACGGCGCTATGATGGGCGGCTTGGGAGGATCTTTCAGCACTGCGAATGGACCTCCTCCAGGTCTTTCTGCGCCACCTGGTTTGGGACCAGGTAGAATGGGTTATGCTGGTGCAATGAGTTCTGGAGTTATGGGTGGTAATCAATATGCTTCTAATACTTCGTTCGGGGGACCAAACAATTGGAATGGTCAAGGTTTCACGTCAGCCATGGCTGCTGGCGGCCCAACACCCATGATGAACGGTTCTAATGGCGGGTTTCCTCCTGCATATATGATGGGACGATAGACGATGGGAATCACTGCATGTGCTGAGAGTTACAGGTGTAACAATGTAGTTGGTCATTCGTGGGAGTTTTGTTTGCTGCGGTTAATTATTTGCACCTATCATGTATGGTAGAGTGATGTCTTTGATTTTATCTTGTACTAGGGTTCATCAACGGGGAGTCCAACGGTGCTGCATCAGGTTGCATTTTACATTTTTGTAGCGGGGTGTTCACGATCATAAGATTCCCCATCGCGTTGTTGCAGTTGTGGGAGTTGTAGCAGAAGCTGGCAAAGGGAGGGACGCATTTGGCATGGTGTTTTTTTCAATGGACTTTCTTTATGATCCCTTGTATTTTTGCAATTATTTATCGCATTTGGCGTACTTTTGCGATTTCAAGGGCGCAAGCTGGCTGGCCTGCGAGAGTTGGTACTTATTAGCTCATGATTTGAGTACTATTACCATCAGTCTGGGTAAACGGGATGGATTTCATGCATAACAAGTAAAAGAGGGGATGGAAAAGGCGTCGGAACATTTCGTCATTCATCTGGGCATCTACATGAAAGGAACTTACCATGTAATGGATGGCATATCAAATTCAAGGCCATGTGTTTAGCTTGGCATATTCTCACAATAATGGGCGTTCTGGCATTCAGGGAGAGGATTTCATTGTGGTTTCTTTAGAGTCCGGTTCACAACAAATTTGATCTTGAAAATGGATCGAGATAACGCCAAAGATTTCTACGAGCAATCCTTACATCATTGTTACTGTATGGTTAGCTCTTGAATTAGCATATTTTATTATGAGTTTGAACATTTTTAGGCTTCCCTACGTGAAACAAATATTTATCTGATGAGGATATAAGACGAGAGTACCGAATTAACCAAGTTATCTTGAGGATGAGTTCGACAGTTACAGGGTTCTAAAAGCTTGCTTCGCCTGGCTTTAATTTATTTCTCATGTACCTAGGATTGAAGCCAAGAACGACTGCAGGGTGCCTACATTTGATTTTGTTCATGTGATACTAATGGAACCTACCGGCGCTAACCACATTTTCGCTTAATTTTTTCCTGTGCTCAAGCTCTTTTTCAATTCAAATTTGATTTTTTTTTTTCCAACAGAAAACATGAATACACAACAACACAATCGTCCTCCACCACAAACCGTGGTAGGAGGACTCTTCCATCAATTGTAAGCTCCCTCAATTTTCATTCTCCCTCTGCAAATTCTATGATGAACATCGTGTCGCCCCTATCTTACCAATGAGCTTTTGCTCCCGTGGTGATTAACCTGTCTTAACCAAACGGACTTTCTGATAATCATTGCACAATTCTTATTGTATTTGACCTTTTGTTACGAAAACCGGATACTAATTGTTTTGCAGATTAGCAAATTGGCTTCTATGCACTTGTGCCATGAATTCACGGATGCACCAACTTCGGTTTGTTTTGCTACCAACATTCTCACGACCCCACCATGCGATGGCATATCAACTGTACGTTATATCCTCTCTTCTTGTTCAACATCAGGTTCAACCAAAGTACAGTGATGAACAAAACATGTACTATCAAATACAGATCAACAATGACGAATAAACTGGTTCGATTACCTGATAGTACTTTGGTTGAACTCTTCTTCAATATCAATTGATACAGATCCTTGAATACAATACTAATATTTGGATTCATAGAACTTTTAGCACAACTTGCACTTCAGTTTCCGGCATATACTGATCAGGTAATTACAAATTTTTCTCTTGTTCAGATTGAAATGGATAATCATCCATTTGTCGATGATGCAAAAAAACATTCCATGCTAAATCCGATAGACTTGTTCTAATGCGGAAGACAACGTAGACTTTTCATCTTTCACCTGAGGCACTTTTGCTATCAGAATACTTTATGTGGTTTTATCTGCAACTCATATGCTAATATGTTATACAGAGAACTAGCTTTCATACTGTGCAATGTCACCTTTATCGTTGCCGATGGCACAAACAAATAATTGTTTGAAATAGGTTTGGAGGTTGAACATAGTGCTCATGGAACATCTGTTTCTCGGCGCATAGGTGCAATGCTTTGTAGTGAGCCTTTAGTCATAAGATACCACAATTTAATTTTTCGTCCAATAATTTGTTCTCTTGGAGCCTGGCAAGCAAAAGTGAAAGAAAGTGTCATCATGCCAAACATTCTTAGTTCAATGGACCGGGAATCAAAGTCCTGCAAAAGGTCTACCAACAGGATTCCGGTGATATGCCAGCTTGGAGGTCTTGAAACATTGTGGTTCATCAATGTTTTCAGGGTCCTGACCTTGAGCCTGGACTTGGATGAATTACATTATGCCAGCCATGTAGATGGTGTACTGCAAATCATTCCAGACGTTCCATATGTGTCTAGTAATCTGCCTATGAATTACTTGGTTACATCACTCTACATCCATTTCCTCATTACATCTAGGCTCTGACTATGATTTGAACCTCATTGTGCAAAGTAGAAGGCAAAGCCCAACGTTGTATTTGTTACTAGTGATATGGTTTTCTGGGAGGGATATTGATTGGCTGACTTGCTCTCTTGCTCTCTTGCTCTGCTAATTCCTGTGTTTCCTCTCCTTAACGGTAGATGCGGAGATAGATCCAGTCGAGCTACTATAGCTCATGAGCCTTGTGTCTAGAGCTTGGGTGGAATTTTCGACAGCGGTGGCGTGGGCGTGAGGACTGGTGTGGAATCTGGATGTATGCTTCGTTTAGATCTTTGGGTTTGGGTTCGAGGGGTTTCGTTTTGGAGTTGGGGTGGGAGATTGTATGTTATTGTTATTGATGTTTTTGTTACTGTTGTGAAGCTTGGGTTATAGTAATGTCACTCATTATCCACAGAAAGGTTGTTCTTCAAGCTCACAGCGGAATTTCAAGCCAAAACTTCGCGGGTGAACAAAAAACTCATTATCGTAATTACAAAAATATCTATCGGTATACTAGTATTGATTCCCCAAACTCCCTTCTCAAACCCCAGAGTGTTCTTCTCTGCTCTTCGTCTTCCATAATGGTGTAGGAATCCATGCATTCCGTTCCAATCTCGTTTGTCTCCAGATTAGACCCGACGCCTCCAAGCTCCTAGTGCTAAGACAACGTAGAAGTTTGATATATTGATGATTAAATTTTCCGTCTCCCTGATCCATCTCCTCTATAATTCGATCACAATCCCGGATCACTCTTACATCTTAGCTCACAACCTTAATCCTGACTTGTACTAAAGTAATACTCATCCCACAACCACAAATAATCCTCGACCACACCCCCAATAAAACTTGGCAAACGGTTACTTGTTCGGTGCAAGAATCCTTTCGTAACATTTTCATAGAAAGCACCTCGTAAGGCCCACCATCCCATTGCCCAGCCTCTCTTATTCCACTGTTCTTTCTCAAGAGGAGTAGTTCTATAATTCTCGCTGCGGAGCTGGCGTGCAGCATATTCGATGCTGAGGCCTATAGCCCAAGGTTTCCAGGACTTAGGATTCTTGCGATAATGGGAGAGGGCGATGGCATAGATGACGGGTTGGAGAATGTGCATGTATTCTGCATATTGAGAAGGGAGAGTAAGGGGGTTGAGAAGCGAGATTGGCGCTTTGATATCTTCGGCAACGAGAACTTTGGAAAGGAGATAATTTGGTATGTCGCTTGGATTTGGGAGATTTGGAAGTGTTAAGCCTGTTCTCTTTAATTTGTATTCTTTTCCCTCTCGATTCTGGCGGAGCTTCTCTTCTTCTCGCATGGCTGTCGTGTCATCGGTATCGAGCCAAGGGGGTATCTCCTCGGTTTCCGTAAGTGATTCCTCGGGTATGATATCACGTTCGGGAAGAGGTGGTGTAACAAGTGGTCGTCCTTTGGTGATTCTTAAAAGTAGCAGTTTACATATTGCCTTGATAAATTCAAGAAATACTACCACTCTCCATCTCATCTTCTCTCCTTTCCTCTTGGCCATCATCTCCCATAATAACTCGGTATATTGTATCATACTCAGTAACATGGCAATTCTTCGATACATCCGATTGCCCTTGACCCAATATTTGGTATATCGATTATGCGCATTTTGTCTGGGCATACCGGGGAGTTTGGATAGGGCTCGAGAGAGAAGGGTATCATGGTAAAGTGAGAGTAACTGAATAGAAGAATGTAGAGATTCGGATGCGAGTTCGGCATCACGAAATCGACCGGGTATTATATATGTCAGAGAACGCAAAGCCGATTCGATTTGGGTAACGGAAGATTGATTTTTGAGGATGAAGTCGGAATAGAGGTGTAGCGCGTTAGGGACCTTCTCCCGCACACTTTTTAGGGAGTCCATGATTGAGATCTATTCATGAGATAAGATGATGGATATGACTGAAGAGATTTTGTGGAGAGAATGTAGATGAAACGCGCTTGTTAGTAGAGGGTGAAGGTTGGATTTAGATATGCCGTCGCAAAGGGGGGTTGGAGCTTAATTTCGATCCTCAGCCTCGGCCCCAGATTTGGACACGCACGTGAATTTTAGTGGTGGGTCGGCGATAAGTTAGCTTCCGCGTTCCTTTGCATTAATCCCTGCATATCAAAATTGATAAGACGAAGCGCGAGGGCAAATATTGAGATATATAGGTAGATACTGACAAAGTACTGAAGTAGAGAGGTATATTAGATTTTCCCCTACGGTTTCTCTTCTGGAAAGTTTCATAGTACAACATGCCCAAACGCCGAAGATCAAGTACGTCTCAAAATGATCTACCAATAACGAAGAAACATTGCCTCCCACGGAATAAACGCGATCACATTTCTCATCTTTCCTCCGAACTTCTCATCCGTATCCTTCATCATCTACCAATTGAGACTCTCCTATCCTGCCACTCTGTTTCTCAACACTTCTATACTCTTACTCACGATTCTCAACTATGGAAATCGTTATATTATTCTCGATTTGTGTTACCACGCGCATTGCGCATCCCGGGGATTAAAAACAGGGAGAAATCGAACAAAGAAAGAAGTACGGGGGAACTGGGAGATGAAGGGAGTAGGAATATATCTGAGAATGAAGACAAGTTCCGGTTCAGTTCGAGAAGGAGTAGATGGCTGGATGAGGAAGGGTTGAGAAGTAGAGGTGATGGAAGAGAAACCAATTGGAAAAGACAGTATAAACTGAGGCATAATTGGGCGAGGGGTGCATGTGAGGTCAAAGAGATCGAAATTGCGGAGAGAGGAAATGTGCCAAATGTATTGGTAAGGTTAGCAGGAGGAGTGGTAATTACGGTCGGTGAGATGGAGGGTTTGAAGGCCTGGGGTCTCAAGGAGAGGAAATTGATTACAGCGTGTGGATTGGACGAGGGAATACCATCTTGTTTAGCAGTCGATGAACAAGATGGAGAGAAAGGGAGATTAGGGATTGTGGTAGGATTTGAAGACGGAGGTTGGGGAACTTGGGTACTCGATGTGGAAAATAAGATGTTTGTGAAAAAATACAGGCATCCACCGAGCAGTAATGGGATGTTAAGCGCTATAGCTTACGCGCATCCATACATATTGAGCATCACGGAAAGGCAGCTCCTTTCGTTCTATACGCTTAATCCTGTCGGGCTGATGCAAGAGTCTGAAGTTAAGGACAAGAGCACCAGTATACAGGAGAATGTGGAAAAACCAATCCGTCCACATCTCTTGACATCTCTCAAATCACATTCTTCATGGCCACCACTATCCCTCTCCATCCGTCTCACGCTATCCACTATCATCGCCTCAATAGTTTACACCCTTCCAACCTACCTGAGCGGACACACCATCTCAATTCAGGAACTTCATTTCACTCTCTCCTCACTCGAGCTCCCAACCCTAACAAACTCCCGCCTAACCTCCTCCTTTCCCTCTGGGTTTCAGCCCCTAACTTCCTCTGCCCCACGCGCCTCTCTCCCACGACCAACATCTCTCTCCTATGCACATCCCTATATTCTGGCCACGCATCCAGATAACACACTTTCTCTCTATCTCTGCACTAGTACACATACCTCACTCACTCTTTCTCCTCCCCAAAAACTATTTGGACATACAAGCTCGATTAGTTTCGCAAGTATTACCAGTAGGGGTAAGGCAGTGAGTGTTAGTGAAAGGGGAGGAGAATTAAGGGTTTGGGAATTGGAACCGGGTATGTTTAGGAAGGGGGAGGGGTCAAGGGTAGAAAGAAGTGTGAGGGTTGGCGAGGGAAAACAAAGGGCAAATGGCGATAGAGGTCGAGGAGGGGAAGAGAGAACATTGAATGATACCCAGAAGATGAAAATGAGAAAGGGTCTGGAAAAGAAAATCTGGGTTGGTTTTGATGAGGAAATGGTTATAGTGCTGAAATCGAGCGAGGAAGATTCAGGTTGTGAGTGCGAGGGCGATGAAGAGCAAGTGAGTCCCGGGCAATTACTCAACAATCCGCATGAGGAGAACGGATTGGCTGTGGGACATGCTAATAGGAACGAGAACGGGAATGGGTGTATACAGCAGAGACTGGTTATATATGATTTTACATAATGTTGTATACATATACATATAAGGATGTGGTGGATCTGAGTGGAAATATGGTCATCATGTTACTCATTAATAGACGTAGATGTGCCTTTTCTGCACATTTCACATGTGGAAAGAGGAAGGATACCATTTCCTTCCCCTCTCCACCTCTCAAGATTTGAATACGTTGAGACAAGGCTCCCGCGAGGCACTTTTTTCACTTGGTGGACATTGGACAGTCCTTGGCAGACGTCAAAAGCAAGGCTCTCCAAGGCTTTTAATTAAAGGCTATGCAGATAGAAGTCTATCTTATATGGTCATGCCGATTAGAACCGGCAATGCTAGCTCCATTTGATCGTCATGTACGCGTACGGTTGCTAAATGTACACCTAATTTAGATACAGATAGCATGACTAGTTGTATATTATGTAGAAATGTGGATGGATGTTGTCATCGAATACTCATAGTCGCCCTGCGTCTCAGATGTACTGTAGCCTAGTAGGCTACCATGAATAATATCGAGAGATCATACGTGAAATACCTGGAAGGCTTAGACTAGGCTCTGGCTACTCAAGGCTGGGAATGTAATACATTAGGTAATTTTCCTACTGGAAACGGAAATGAGAATAGACAAGGATGATTGAAATGAGAAGTTGTATTCTTTCTTTGAGATGGTGGAGAGAGGAAGACAAAGAAAGATGACGGGTAACAATGGATGAGACTGAACAGTCTCTGCTTTGTACTTTTTCATGGGAGGAATAGATATCCTTTATTCTTTCTTTCATGTTCTTATCACCCTGAATCGCATTGTGTTTTGTAAAATTGAGTTTCTTCTCAGAGTGTGGCCTTGAGAATTGGCAAGATGAAATGCTTGATATTCTTATTCTCACTCTCTATCAGAAGGGGAGAAAGGTCTACAGATACGATTATGTTGGTCTTCCCGAACGAAACATTATCAATGGCTATTCCTTCACTCTATAAGTTTCCTGTGTTTCACTGAACCCAAATTTTGAACAAGGGGAAGCATAACTGAATCTATCGGATTCCGATGGTTCTGTCGCCACATCCACTGCACTTCCATAAGACCTTCGATCTAAACTCGGATTGCAATCCAGAATATACTTCGGATAGTTATCCAAATAGTTTCATCATCCAGACAGATTATACAACAAAAAGAAACAGAATACACGTTTTCTTAAGTGGAAGAATGAACAACTCCCCTCATACAAATTCTTAACAATTTCAGAACAACTCCCCAACAACACCTCTCTCGGAGGTATATAAATGTCCTCAATAACTCTATTCAGTCTTCCTCTTCATTCCCTCACACACACACACACACTCACTCACACACTCACTCACTCACTCACTCACTCTCACTCACACTTACACTCACATCACACTTACACACAAACAAACAACCCAATCAAAGATGTGCACTTCCGTCAAAACCATCTCCAGCTGCGGCCATCCTAGCTTCTGGGTCGACAGATGCAACCTCGCTCGCCGCTCCAATATCCAACCCACCACTTGTCCTTACTACCATCAGGAGATTGTTCGCCAGAGCAAAGTGTGCGGGGGATGCAAGGAGAACGGGAAGAGGACGCGATAGGAGACTAGGAGGCTAGAGAGGATGAGGGACGCAGATCGAATACAATGGTAATTTCTTCCATCTTTCTTTTCTTGTAATTGCGTGTTTTTCGCTCCAGAGGAGAAAAAAGAAGAAGATTGAGGATCAAGGTACAGATACAGATACAATGGTAATTTCTTCCATATTTCTTTTGTGGTAGACTGCGATTCTTGCTCTTCGAGACCAGTGTTTTGAATTAAACGATTTTTTTAATTTTATTTATATTTTGCAATTTTGATGGACTGTGAGTGACTTGATATGATTTGATATGATTTGATATTATTTGATTTGACTAATTGATTGTAATATCCATATGAATGTCAACAGAATTTCCAGAATAGGTATGATGATATGTTATGGACTTGGAATTATATACAGATTCGCTCTCGTTATATGCCCTTGCCCTATGCCCTTTCAATCATATACTCTGAACTTCCAAAGACTTTGTTTGATATTGAGTCCTCGCTTCAAACCGCGAGGGTGACTTTGAATGATTCTATGAATGAGCAGAAGAAGCAATCGTTGTTGTTGAAATTTTTTCGAACTTAGAAATTGGTATATGTGTATTGGGAATTGGGAAATGCATTTAGACTTCTAATGATATAAAGATATTCCCAGCTACCTACCTCGATTGACGATACATGCACACACAAGCGACGAAATATAGAAATTCTAACCTGGAGGATTTATTCGATCTCAATTCGATTCATTGTAATAACGCGAATATATATGTACTCATTGAGAGCTTGTTCATGAATACTTCTCTTCTCATATTGCAGATACAAAACATTGCAGTATGTATCTAGTATCCAGACACCATGAAGAAACGGATACCCAGTAAATATACCACCATCACACTCCCAGCGATCAAAATGTAGAAGTAGAGAATGTTTAAACAGCGCGAGCTGCGTCTCTACAATCAAATCAAATCAAATACTAGGTAGGTACCTAAACGAATAAATGAAAATCAAGAAATGAAAATATGATTTGTTGGTTATTCTATTCCCTTCTCTACTTTTTCTTCATCAAGTGACGAGAAAGAAATGGAAGAAAATTGGTTAATTATTTATCTAGATAATTAATTAACTAACTAATCAACTAATAACTCTTAACATCTTTTCTTGACCGCTCCCTCTTTTAATTTATTCTACTAGGTATTCTACTCTGCTCTCTTCTCCTTCTTACCAATTTCAGAAAAATCAATAAAACCCCATTCATTCATTAACTCGTCACAAAAAAGAAGAAAAAAAGAATACACATCCACTTTTCCATTCCAAATCCAAATCCAAATCCATATCTCAATCCATATCCAGATTCCTATTCCCATTCCCATCCCCATTCCCATTACTTCCAACTTTTTCTTTTCTTTTCTTTGCCTTGCCTTGTCTTGCCTTGCCTTGCCTTGCCTTGTTCTCATCTAGTTGAGTATCCATCCATCCATTTACCAAAAATATCCATGTAGAAAAACCGCATGATGAAGACAAGCAAGTCCTAAAGACAAGCCATCCCCGCCCAATTTTCCTTATCAATTGACATTTTTCGATTTGGGAGGGAATTATTATAGGAAAGGAAAGGAAAGGGAAGGAAAGGAAAGTTACCCCTCTATGCGATTAGAAAATTACCCCTCTATTTGGTTTCTTATCGATAAGCGTGGCTGGGCGGGCTGGGCGGGCTGGCTGGCTGTCAGCTTTGCGTTGGGTTGGGATCTGGGTTGGTTAGGTGGTGGGCGTTTGCGGCGGGATGGGGATGGGGATGGGGATGGGTTGTGAATTTTTGAGAGTTTACAGTGATTGTAGTTTTGAGATTTGTTAGTTTGTTTGTTTGTTTAGATGGATGGATGGATGGATGGATATTTAGTTGTTTAGATGGATTGATGAATAGGTAGGTGTTTGGGGGGAGATGGTAAAATGATATGATGATGTCTATGGGGGTTTTGCAAATGATAGTAGATACCGCATACTCTTGGATGGATGTTTCGGAGTACGTGTGATCTTTTTGGGGGGTTGGTTTGGGTGTGGGTTTAGATTTTAGATAGCTAGGGAATGGATGTTCAGCTTGGGATGGGATGGGATGGCATGGGGTGGTATAGTATGCTATGCTATGATATAATATGATTACGAGTTTACGAGGTGAGTTACGAAATTGGGAGGGTGTGGGTTGAGATGGAATGAGAGGGGATGATTGAGGATGTGAAGATTGAACTTTATGGTTTATTGATGGATTATAACTACATGGGAGGAGGGAATTAAGTTCACAGAGATAGATCGTAGATAATGTAATCGTAGAAGGCTGGCTACCTGCGGGAAGGAGTTGGATGGCGATTTGATCTCACAGGAAAATCTGACCTATGCAAAGCTGATATATGCATGCCATGTATACTGGATCTACTGGACGTGCATGGGAAGAGATGTCGTGTTTATGCTTCTGCTTCTGTGCAGGTTGCAGCGGGCGAACTAACTTACGAATGGATGGAGGCAATGGGATGTGATGTGCAACTGGGTGAATAGGGGAATGTATGCATGGAGATGCTTTTGTGATGGTTTGGGTTGTGTTTGGTGTTTGGGTTGTTTCATTTAGATGCGTTGAGAGGTGCATGTTTCAGTGCTTTTCGGATGGGTTCGGGGAGGGGAAAGAGGGGTTGGGGGATACGGGATGGGAGGACAGGAATACGAAAGGGAGAGAGAGAGATTGGGGGATTGGGGAAGGTTAGGAAAGTTAGTTAGAGATGTGCTATGACTTCGTAGAATGGGTGAGGTGATCATGGTGGTGAGGTGATGACCTTGTATCATATGATCGGGGCGATAGAATGGGATGGTGGGGTGGTGAGACAAGATGGGATCGCAATCTTTGCATGTGATGATAGGGACGATGGGTTCTGCGTCTATTTCAGATATTAGCAAGAATAGATTCTTGATTCATGAATTGAAGAGAGATAATTGGAGGTGCAGATGACCCTTTTTATTGGTGAGGAAGGGGGGAGGGGATGGGGATTTAACCCTTGTATGGTAGATTCAAAGGGACGGATGATCAATTCATGAGAACCTTCTTGCTCAAACTCATGATTCGTACCTACCTAGTCTCGAGTACATCTATCTATAGTCAAGCTTATCCAAATCGCTCCAAGTTCTCTCCATCCTCGAACAAAGTTAATGAGCAGAGCACGCAAGAAAAGGGGGTGTGTAGATAAAAGATTCATGATAGATCCCAACTGCATGTACGAGACGAATGGTACAGCAATCTCCACCCCAGAGCAAAGAAGCGCGCATTTATCACCAATGAAGAGAAGCGATGCTACTCAAGCACGGTAGGAAAGTACTGTGTTGTACACCACAAGTGATTAAGTTCCTGTAGAAGAGTGGGGTACGTCATGATGATTTGGAGATGGGACATGACATGAGAGAGATGCCAATTGCGAAAGTCCAGTTGTTTGTGGTACGAAGGACTCTTATGTGCATCATTGGGCTTTCGGATATCGAGAGAAGGAGGGTTAGGTAGATGTAGGTCGATGGCTAGTCGGAGATGATTGGGAATGGGGTGGAAACACGTGTACGAACGATGGTCAAAGGATGAACTCACTAGTTGGTTCGGGTGCTTGGAAAGTGCTGTAAGGTTGAAACACGTTGAAGAATGGAAATGAGGGAGGCGTGTGGGATCAAGTAGCATAGGGTAGAAGAGGAGGGGAAGAGGCATTTGTCAGAACTCAATTGCGTATTGGGTTGCGGATGATGTGGAGTTACGGAGTATGGTTGTAACGAAACTGGAGATGATTATGCTTGTTGAGTTGTGAAAGCGAAAGGAAGGGAAAGGAAAGGGAGGCGAAGGAAAGTAACGGAAAGCAACGCAACGGAGGGCAAGGCAAGGCAAGACAAAACATATATCTATCATAGTTCTAGAACAGGATAAAGTCAATTGAGGCGAAGTAAGATAGAGTGGAGAGGAGGTGAGGAGTGACGAGGCCATTGGCGACCATGAAGATAGATAGACGAGACACATTCAAGATTGCATGAATGGAATCAAGACTTTTCACACTCTTTGATTTCATAATGATGTTGGTTGGGATGAAGGGGATGGATGGATGGGATGGGATGGGATGTCTTGGACCAATTGAGTGAGAAAATAAGCTGATGATGGAGTCAAATTGATACGTATACGAATGATAAGAATGAATTGGATTATGATTGAGACAACCGTTTTCTAATTGAGATCAATTGAGTTGTTATTTACGAGAAATCTGATTTCTTCACGATGGAATGGATGGATGAATGAATGAATGAGTGAATGAATGAAGTGAAGCCTCATGTAAGATATGATAGAGTAGATATCGACTTTCCCCACATGCATCTTCATCAAGCATCTTCACCATCATCCATGGCCCATGGGCAAACACACCCAAGCCAAGCACGCACGCAAGCAAGCAAGCAGCAGTAGTAGCATCTAAGCATTATTTTGGTGAATTCCCACTTATGCAATCATTCTTCTACCAACATTTGCCCAGCTAGGTACGAGTAGAGCTAGAGGTATAAATATATATACAATTGCATAAATTTATCCGCGGCCGCCGCTTCAATCCATCTGTAACACTCACTCACTCACTCACTCACTCACTCACTCACTCACTCACTCACTCACTCACTCAACCTCTCTGATGACCCAGAAGATGAATTTCCAATACTTTATTTATTTTCAGATTCTGGTGTATTTCCCAGGTGCATTTCCTTAGTGCATTCAAATGTCAGCCTGACCTGTAGACTAAACCCAAGATGGTATAATGTATCACATCACCAGCAAATGAATGAACCAATAAATTAATTATCCCACCACGCTAAACCCAACCATGAACTTCTTCCAAGTTCCTCCAAGGTGAGTCACATCTTCTGTTACACATCTTCCTTCACTTCTTTCGCCGCTTTCATTTGACCAACCCATCCATATTGACCAACCACACGTTTCAATTGTCTTTTTTTGCAACCCAACTCATCTGAAAGTCTGCCACAGACCAAAGTCTCCATCCATGAACTGAAAGAAAAAAGAGGGCTCAACTCTCTCAATTGGAGCCCCCGAAGCAATAAGATATCGGTAGATGATCTCATTGAGTCTAATAAGAGTTTGAGTTATCAATTGAGTGATTTGTATCCATCACAATGAGACAATTGAGTGGTGAGTATCAGAGTGAGAGAGTGTGAGTATGAGTGAGTATGAGTATCAGCACCTAGGTATCATGATGAGGGTGAGTACAGTAATTGACATCAATCTTTTATCTTGTCCCCCCCCCTTCCATGAAGTTCTCACCGACCAAAGCAAAGCAAAGCAAAGCAAAGCAAAGCAAAGCAAGCCTCGAAGAAAGTTACTCCATATCTCACTCAAACAGTTATTTTTATTTGTATTTTGCCTTCCAATATATCTGGCTGACGAATGATTGGAACATTATATCATCACATCATGATATGATTGGTCAATTGATGAATTATAGTATCCCTTTCCTTCTGGTAACTTCTACCTGAAGGAGAGAAAAAGGCAAGCAGCAGAAAGGTATCTAGCTATCTAGCTATCTAGCCATGAGCCATGAGCCATGAGCCATGAGCCATTTAGTACCGACGCATCTCATCTCATACTATTGAAAAGAGGACGCATGTACCTCCTACCTACTTTCTTCTTACCTATCCCACGCTTCCCGGGACTGCCCGCCTCCTTCACTAGTACACGCAGACACAGCTACCAACCATGACTCCAAACAAAAACAAAGAAAAAGAAAAAGAATCCCAGGTAGGTGATAAAAAAGAAAAGAAAGAAGAAAAAAAAAGAAATCGGGCAATACAAACAAAGATCAAGACCCATGGGAGCCAATCAGCATTGTTGAAATCCGTCTAAGAAACATTCAAGTCTAACCGCTGCCTGACCTGACCAAGAAGCAAATTCACTCTAAAACAACATTCACACCTACCTAGGTACCTCCTTTTTTTGGTCAATTATTTTATTATTATATTATCTCTTGTCTCTGTCCCCGCCGTTACCAGATTTTTAATTATTCTTATTGGAATTAGAATTAGAATTAGAATTAGAATGGGAATGGGAATTGAAATTCTATTTCTAATTCTATTTCTGTTTTGATTTTGATTTTGATTTTGATTATTATTATTATTATTATTATTATTATTATTATTATTATCTTCATTTATTTTATTATTTTATCAAGAATACTAAGACTTGATATCCATCACACCAAAGAACTAGGATAACACCCTACCTACATACCTTTAACAAAGTACCATCTTCCAATTGCGCTTATTAGTGCATGACCAGTTGAATTGATCACCTCGTGGCAGCCTACGAACCGTCCGCTGCGTATTCTGGAATGGAATGACTGGTTAGAGTCATCCGCCTCCATCCATATTCATACACACTCCATACACACTACACACACACACTTTATACAACTTCTCACACCTCCCTCCTTTTCCCATTCAAAAAAGAAGGGTACCATACCATACCAGGTCATACTTATTATACTTATTGTTCATCCTCCCTCTCCCTCTTCCTCTCTCTCTCTTGCACATGCAATTCGTTTTCTCTCGTTGCTTGCTTCTTGTTATTTAACTCCTCCTTCCTCATCAAGCATACACACACATACCATACATATCTCAACTCAAATCATTGCCATCTACTTTGTATTTGATTCGCAATTGATTGCATTCCTCTCTACATTCACCAACAACAATAACGCAATACCCCGCCATACCTCAATTGAAATCCCATTTTCAATAAGCAAGAGGCAGATCACGCTTTGCATTGAATTGGGATCAAACACAAAGAACTTTCCAGCCTAATCCTCGGCTGACCAACACTACGCAACACTACGCAGCACTTACATATACACAGCCTTCTTGGCCATATCTACGATATATCTGTCTCAATCCCCGAACTTTCTTTTTGATTCAGAAATCATTTCGACGGATTTAAGAAGCGGGATATCCGATTTCCATTTGCTTGCTAGACCTAGAGTGGCGCGGGGCAACGAACAAACGATTATGGATGACAAAACATTCACCTCGATCCGGCAACCTTCTACTACCTTCGATTTTAGACACTCACCAATTACTAAAAAACCATTCATCAATTCAACCACCTCTACTTCTACACACTCACCTCAATCCATCAAACCAATTCGTACGGCATCTTCTCGCCCCATGAGTATGGAACGTAAGAATAAGCTTGATATCGCCAGTACGCTTATGTCACCTCCAGAGCCACTTCCTCTCGATAACTTTATACATTCGTGCATGCCATTCACAATGGATTCAAAGATGCGAAAATTACATTCAATCGTCGGTGCGACGTTTCCCATATCGCCACCTGTGTCTCCAGAGACCAAGGCTCGGTCACCAGAAGAGCCCGCTGGTTCACAAGCAATTACCGATCCAATTCTATACCCACTTTCCGACAATCAAAGCACATCTGCCACTCAACCATCCCTCTTCGCAGACAATGACGACCCTCTCGTTACACACCGTGTAGTCGATGGGCATGTTGCAGCCAGGAAAGCTAGCATGTTCCGAGAAGCCTCCCCTCCACGCCGCGATGAGTACGAGCTCGCGCTCGAATTCAAATCACAAGTTGTTAAGATTATGTCAAAGGATCCGGCTCTTTGGTTACGAAGGGAAATGGTTTATCTGAGGAGAGATCGAGAGTTACAATCTGGTGCAAGACGATGGACAAATATTGCCCCTGCAGTGGGAAGGAGCACAAGAGTTCTAGGCAACACTGCTACAAGAGTCACAAAGACAGTACGCCCTCCTCGACCTACCCAAACACCTCGAGGTGTACGTACAGTATCCTCGACAACCCCTGGTCCCGATGTCAAGCGAGTTGCTCGGGAAGATAAGGATTTTGAAAACCTTCCAGATTACTGTCCACCAATCACCAGTCTTCCTAATAAACCCAATTCATTGAAAGTGGATTGGAAGGGTGCCCCAATTGATCTCCGCAGCGATCCAAACGTTCATCTTCTCCACCCGGATGAAGTCTGTCTCGCAGCCAATCTTCGTCTTGATTGTGCAACTTATCTTACTTCCAAACGTCGAATCTTTATGAAACGAATTGAAGCCTTGAGAGTCGGAAAGGAGTTCCGAAAGACAGATGCTCAACAGGCATGCAAAATTGATGTCAACAAGGCTAGCAAACTTTGGCAAGCATTTGACAAGGTTGGATGGCTAAATCCATCATGGGTCAAGAAGTATGCCTAGAGCGATGACTCTTGTTGGCTGATCAAATTTCGCCACTCAAGACTATCACCTACCAATATGATTCTACTGCTATTCATACCAGTACACGAGCCACGATTACGACACTTGCCTGCCTTTTTTTCATTCACGAATGATTTGTCATTTTTTACTGCATTGCGACGGTTATTCGCTTACACTGAGACTCAAACTTTCTTGACATCACAGTTTGCAAGCATATGTTACTTGGTCCATTTGTTTTCTTTCTATTTTCTGCCTGGTGCATATCATACAGACATATCAACATCATATTATCTTGCATCGGGCTGCTTTGATACCCAAGAGAGCCTGCCCAGCTCCTCTCTCACGACAGCTTTTTTTCTTGTTTCATCTCTTTTGTTATTCATGGCAGGGGAATACTATATTCCAGCGTGTCTCACTTCTTGCTTATTATTCTTTGACTTTGAAGTCTGGATACATACATCTTCAACACCGTGGATGGGATTTCCCGTTTTTCGTTTTTTTTAGATAGGATGGATTAGTTTGCTTTATGGAATATGATTGACCTCCTGGATGATGGAATATCATTGGGCGTTTTTAGTGACATATGAGTGGTATCAACTCTACTCATGGACCATGGATGGTCTGGTTGTGGGGGTATGGCATGGCATGGCATGGCATGGATGGGGCTTGTTTGGGGATTGGTTGGTTGCATTGGGTATGGGGTGGGCGGATTTTTCCACGTGCGTACAGATTGGATTGGAAGATTTGAGAGGGAGAAGAACACAATAATGAATGCACAGTGTGGTCTGGCATGGCACGTCATTAGATTGAATAGTTATGGCCTTTGAAAACTCGAGAATTATCTTGTATGAGATCGGATGGATCAATTAAAGTTTGAGATGGATGGATTGATACATACAGATATAGAGTGTCATAGTGCGTAATTAGTGTGTCGTGGGTTGGAAAGTTAGATAGTCTCTCCATGGGAACTCTGGAATCGATATTTTATAAAGCATTCTTGACTTTGACGTCGGTGTTTTTTGTTGTTGTATATTGTAATTTTTATAAACTGTGATCTTTGATAATTGAATGTGTGGATGGATGGAGGGGAGGGGATAGCGTGTTGATGATATATTGTATATACGATTAGTCAATGGTGAATCAAACGTAAAGGCAGTATGAGTTATATATCTATGTACCTATGTATGTGTGTGTAGATACGTGCTGTGCAGCTCGAACGGTAGATAGATAGATAAATAGATATAGTATCATTCCATTCTATCCTATCTATTCCATCTCTTTTGGCCATTCTATCTATCTCAGTTAGCCAGTAACTGATAATTGATAATTGATAACTTACTCACCCACCCCCCTTTGTATGTGTTGCTTGCAAGCGAGATGGATTGGTATGTTGTGGTATTGTGGGGGGAGATGATACTGTGATGAGGATATACTGAGGATACACAAAGGATACACAAAGGATACACTGGACCCGGACCTAGATCTTGGTGTGATTGTTATGTTATTTGGTATAGATTGTATGGACAGATTGTATCGTGAGGTGTACGTGTATTTCTGTCCGTCTGACCGTCTATCCGTCTAGCTTTCCTTCCTGCGAGTTTGTTATGTATATGTTCTCTTGTGTGGCTCGCGGGATTGTATGTTATAAGCACCTGTCTAGTAGATGGGCAGGTGTTAAAAACTAGATGAGATACTTGTTTGTGAGGGAGGGAGGGAGTGATGCTCTCATTGTAATGTTATATATAGCTTGCTGACATGTCACATTTCTGGTATCAAATTGTACAGTAGGTAGGTATTCGGAAATTCTTCTTAGATAATTGTGAATCTATGCTTTCTTCTCTTAGCATCATTATATCGTATCCTATGGTATCCTATTCTATCCCACTCGACCCTATCCTATCCTGTTCATCTTTCAAGAACGACCATTCATTAAATATTAACCTAGATTCCCACACACAATCAAGCCATTCCCTGTCCAGAATTAAGCAGACCCTCTCTCTTCGCTTCATTAATAGCCTTTAACTTTGCTGTTCCAACACCTGCCACACCTGCCTGTTGATCCTTGCCCAACCACGGTTTGACCGCATCTCCCAACATACTTCCCGAAAGGAAATAGACAAACAATCCTAGGATAATCAGCACAAATGCAATTGGATACAAATAGTAGATGGTGTATCCAAAAACATTGATACCAATGACAACACCCCAGAAGTTGGCCGTGAGAAGCGAGATATCGAAGAATGCCGCAGATGCCATTCGTAGGATAATAGGAGCGAGGGTATAGAAAAGTGCAAGAGCGAGTGTGTATCCAACAATGTAACCTCCGACTTGGCCGTCCCAGACGGCGTTTTGGAAAGAATGACGATCAAATATGGCAGCTGTGATACCGTTGATGATGATACCGAAGAGACCAAGCATGCCCAGGACTTCGTACATAGGACGTTTGGAAACGAACCATTCTTCAAAAACGTTCGAGAGACCATAGAGAGTAGCGCCGGCTAATGCAAAAAGATCACCCTTCAACATGGTAGGTGGATTGCCTCCATTGGAACCAGTGATGTGATCAGATGCAAGGAGAATACCCATACCACCACAGCAAACGAGAATGGAGATAACTTGGAGCCACTTGTATCGAACACCGAGGAATATGAACGAGACGATTACAACGCAAACGATGGACCAAAAGTTGATAAGTTGAGCGCTGAGGACATTGGCTGGAGGATGTTAGTAACTTTACACAATAAATTCTTGGGAAAGTAGGAATACGTACTCCATCGATAAGCCAAAACTGTGAAATAGTTTCCCTCAACATCCATGAAAGACAAGATGACATACTTCCAGCCATCTACCCAGAGAAGCTTCAAATAATCTCTCCATCCATACTTGTAGATGGTGTAAGTCGTGTAGATAGCGCACAGCAAGACGTAGTTGAAGAGAGTTTGAAAGGCGGGGATCGAAGTTCCCTTATTCGCAAGAAGTGTAGTGAATGTATTGGTAGCCGTGATGCAAAGTGAAAGAATTTGTCTATAAAACGAATAGGTTAGATTTGAAATAATATGCTAAAATTGATAGGCATAAGATAAGATGTGAGAAGTCCTTTTCAGGGCAATGGTGTTAGTTGTCTCATGGCTGGGACTCCCAGGCTCTGAAGTAGCAAATACTTTTAAGTTGCAAAACATCATTTGGACTCGTCGCCATCTTGTGCCCAAACAGCGAAAGCAGAAAAACTTACCCAAGAACTAAAATAATCCAGAAGTCTCTTGTAAGCAAATAAGCCCACCACTTCTTGTTTTTGGTCTCCAAGTTTTCAATGGCATGTTCCAAAATCTCACCATCGACTCGATCGCCCACGGCTCTATCGCTGGCCATACCAAAGCTTCCACTGCCCTGGGCGCCATCGCTGGATTTTGTATGTCTGTCCCCTTCCAAAGCATTGACGTTGGTCTGTACTCCGGCAACTTTAACATTGTCTCCCATCTTGGAACTCATGTTGTCTTTCCCGACTCTTTCTGTATCGAATTCCAATTGATCCTGGCCCTCGTCTTGATATTCGGAATTGACGTCTAAATCCGAGTCTGAATGAAAGGTGTCTTCTAAGAGTCCGGTTCTCGATTGTAGATCCACAATTGGTGCTGAAAAGGATTTCTAGTACTTGGTTTGACGAAAGGTGGTAGTTTGGGTAGTAATGACGTTGATTGAATGAGGGGTTGGTACTAGTTATGGTCGGCTTATCGCAAAGTCGATCTTCCCAATATGCAAATTGATTAATAAGTCTTTCTACTTCTCCACCGATGTAAATTGTGAGCGCAAAGACTTCAAGTCGCCCACTGTGATAATTATATTATCTGGATCATTGACCGATATCGTATACAGAAGAGATTCAGTGAAGAGCAAAAGAAAAAGAAGAGAATCAGTGATGGGAATTCAGATTACTTTAACTTTTTTGATAAGCCTCCATTTATCAAATAGTGGGGCATAAAGTGCATAGTGGATCCATCCGACAAGCAGAGTTCGTTAAAGGAAAGTTTATGATTGGATTGATGTATGTTAGAACCAGGATCTCGTCCGAAGCTAAGGGCGGGATAATGTGAGCCTAGACTGGGGTCGGACAACCCCGATGAAGAAAAATGAAGAGTTTTTTGGTAGTAAAATTGGATCAGTGGAGTGGATAAGTTTGTGAATACATTGAGAAGTGGCAGGACGACGTGGACGGTGAAGAATGTCTGACACATGGGAATCGAGAAGTACGTGGGATATCTAGTCCCCAAAATTATAATATGTACGCCACTTTTTACAGCTCCACACACGCCATCAAGCCATGCTTCGTCTCATTCGTGATATACACTTGGGCTTTGGAGATATGTGCATGTGCAGTATCTCACTCAACCCAAGAACTCCTTCAATGGCCCGCCGACATGTTCTACATCCAATAGGAATGTGTCATGTCCAAATTGGCTCACGTCTTCTCCAAGCTCAACATGACTTACTTTGGTATTCCCTGCCTTTCTCAGCGTATCAGCAATCTCTCTTTGCTGCCATGCAGGGAACAAGATATCGCTAGAAATGCCCATAACTAGAGTAGGATGATCTTTCATGGCTTTCATCCCAGATACTAAGTCCGCAGGGGGACCTGAGGATGGCTCAATGGGCGTATTGATATCTGTTGTCCCGTTTGCTTCTGGCTGTTCCTGGTATGGGCTATCTGGGAGAGTAAGGCTGCATGCTGCATCTCCAAGAGAAGATTCAGATTCAGCCCCAGTTCCCTTACGAGCTAAATGATCTCCTCTTCGTGACGAAGCCGCCAGTTGATTTGTCGCTCCGAGGTCAAAGAGATCCATAGCTTTGCTGACATATAGAAGACTATTTGGATCGTACTCCAAACTAAATTTCTCGCCTGCATGATCTAGATAAGTCTCGATAAGGAAATCTGGACACAAGGCAGGTTGCTTGCTTGGATCGGCTCTTCGTCGACCAAATCTTAGCTCCCATTCAGGTCCCGAGCGGTACGTTACAGTCGCAATTTCACGTGCAAGTTTCATGCCTGCGTGAGGAGGAATATGATCGTAGTAAAATCCTCGATTCCAATTCTTGTCCATCATCAACACTTGCCGTTGAGTATGGCGCATCGCAATGCTGTAAGGGTGGCTTCGTGCACATCCAGAAATACTGGCTACTCGACCAACTCGTTCAGGAAACAGAACCCCAGCAGCTAATGATTGCATACCTCCCATACTCGAACCAACACTCGCATATAGTTTCGTGACCCCTAAACCATCGAGTAGTCGAAACTGTGCCCGCACCATGTCCTCCATGGTAAGAATTGGGAACCTCGTCGCATACCGTTTTCCGTCTGCTGGATCGATTGTCGAGGGTCCTGTCGAACCATAACATCCTCCAATAACATTCGTGCATATGATATGATATTTGTTCGTATCAAGACTTTTATCCGGACCTATAAACTTTTCCCACCATCCTGGCTTAGGATTCGCTTCTGTTGAATGTGCATGTGAAGATGCAGACAATCCAGTGTGCAGTAAAATGACATTCGACTTGTCTGCGTTCATTTCACCCCATGACTCATAAGCAATGTCGAATTCTTGCAAGACACCCCCCCAGTCAAGCAATAAAGGGTCGTCGCAGTGAAATTTAAGTGTTACTCCGCTAGTATAAGATGGTTCTGGGCCACTTGAAAGGGATCGAGCTTCTAGAGTCGCAGACTTGGTTTCGAGAGCATCTAGACAAGGGAATGCCATTGCCGGATTAGAAGCCTCTGCCAATGACGGCTGAGTAGCATTTCGTGAGCCAGATCCATGATAGGATCTTGAGATATTTTGTGAGGATGTTTGGAGAGGGGTGATAGCTTTGAAAGCCAATTGTCGTGTCCAAAGTCTTGGAACAGCTTTCGTACTCCTCACACCTGTTCTCGCAGTTGCGATAAGGCCCCTAGCAGTATTCATCTTTGATGGTTTGTAGATTAAAAAGAAATCATTGTTTAAGTGAAGTTTGACAAATTAACTTACATTTCAGAATTAATATGCAAGTTTGTTTTGTCAGCGATTTCGGTCAAAACAAAAGCAGCCACTATTGGCTTACAATGCAGCTTCCAGATAGCACTATTATCTCTTTCAGCCAATTGAGTGCTAGAACGTGACATAGAAGGCTGAAGCCTTACCTTTTTTCCCCACTCAAACTCTCTTGTATGTAGCCTTACGCTAATGCTTGGACCCCTGAAGTGGGTACGTCATGGAGGCAACATCAACGAAACAGCCTTGGACGTTCATTTGTGGCACAGCTGAATCGGCACAATAACATCCTGCTACCTTCAATACCCGATTTACCTACAAAAACATGCTTCAGTTTGGGAAATATTTCTATAATACAATTTCCAACATAATGTCAGGAACAGACCAAAACAAAGAGTCAGAGCTAACCCTCAACATGCAATTTTATGACTCCGAGAGATATCAGCCATCTTTAGAAGATGTGCTCACTGTTAAAAACATCCTCTTCTCTCTACACCCAGAATCACCGCTACCTCTAGAGCTCATCGATGCCATAATAGACTTATCCGAATATTGGCCTCATACAACAACCACAGGGTTTTTCTTTCCCGGTCAGGAAGAGGGTGACCAGAACGTCAACATCAGTAGACGAGAAGTCACCATCAGAGCCGGTGGCCCATTAGAGAACAAGTTCCTTTTACGGACCCTCCCTATCGGCTATCTTCCCTCTCAAGGAAACAACAATGATTCATCTCTTGAAATACATTCAGAAGATCAATGGAAGTTTTCTAAACAGATACCTAAACCTTTACCAAAAGATCGAGAAATTCCAGAAGATGCCACAGAGGAAGTCCTCAATGAGTGGGCGGAGAGATCACAAATTCGTGGGGAACACCCTTGCAAGAAAATCGAATTTCATCTCAGAAGTCACGATCAAGGATGGGGAGGTGTACGTACAGATAAAGGAACATACAGAGGATCATACACGTGGTTTGACGTTGGCCTAGAAAGAACATATGCCACGAGGAAAGGTAATTCAACATGTTTCTTCAAGGCTTGCGCCAATAAAACATCCAATCTTCAAGATCTAACAACTATCAAACCGGCAGAACACATCCCTGAAAGCCCCTCTTTCCGTCTCTCCAGCTCTGATTCCGACACCCAAGCTTCGACGAATGGGATCAAATGTGGTACACAAACAATCTTCCCCGATGTTCAAGATAACCCAAGCTATGATCGTGAAAACGACGCGAACCCGGCCACAAAATACCCACAAATGTTTGTACATACGCTCAACCCTGATAACAAGATCCTCCAGAGAAACAAAACCGCAACAAGGGGTTTTGAGGATCATAAGATAACATGGAGATTCAACGATGATATACATCCAGAAAGTCCCGAGGCAGACGAACTAGAAGCTCAGGGCAGAGGACGAGAAACTGCTAATGGTGAATTTGTTCGCAACCTGAAAATTGGCGACGTGGTAACGCTTTGGGCGAAAGCAAGGTTTCCAGGTTGGGCTAATACTGTGGAGGATGTAAGTATGGATGTTTACTATGCGGTTTAAGTGTGTGTGCTATCTACGTGATGATCCAGTGTTATTCAGGAATCATCATGAAGATTTTTAGGACCGTTCCAAGGAGCTCACACCTGCTGTTTCCAAGATGTTGTTGAAGAGCAAACTGAGAAAGGTGGTGAGTCGTTACCGGAGATTGTTGTAAATGTTGGCATGAGGTAGGGCGTTCGTCGAGGATTTTATTGTTCGCGCGGCTTTGAAAACTTATGAGCAGCGGGCTGCTTGCCCATGATTAGATGATAGGATAGGGTCAAATTGATATACGAGGGGAGGGGAGTGATGAATTAGCTTAATGATATCATGATACCAACCACACACAGAAATTTGCATTGTTTCGAAGAGTTATTTCCTTCTTCAGTATCCAGTCCTATATTGTGATGACACTTGTCCCGATCTGTCCTGGGGAACACACCAGTACCCGTTCAATACTAATTGTTAAAATCAACCTATTTTGTAACGATTCATATCTATCGTAAACCCCCTGTAAAGATATACATATAACAGTTTACGATGAAATTTCATTTATGCATGCCCTGTACACTTTTTATTTTATCATACAAGTAGTCCCCGCAGCCATTTTAACTACATCACTGAATCTTCTTTCCACTAGTCGTCAACTTCAGTGGTACAGGCTTGCTCCATAACCAAAGAGCGACGAATGCAACCCATCCTGTAACTGTGGCGCCGATTCCGGCAATCCATGGCCAAGCATTGCTGATTGCCCAACTTCTGGTGTATTCGTCATGGGCAAAGTGTCTTACTGTGACGGTGTTCTTTTCCTCGATAGTGGTGAAGAATGGTCGCTTGTAGTTGACCTTGAAGTTAAAGATACCGTGTTGATCCGGAAGCTTGAAGCTTGTGGTGTATGTTTGAGACTCAGAAGTGCTAGTTGATGGCTTAAGCACAAGACGATGGAATGGTGAAAGCATAGAGAATTCGAGTTGGAGAGAGTCTCCAGTTGGTGGGGTGAATGGAACCCATTTGTCCCATGAATACTCAGAAAGCTCAATTTCGTATGTCTGTTGAATTATAAGTTATGTTTCAATAATGTCAATTGCGTTACTTACCACATCGTTCTTAATTCTGTAGATCTTTGGGTTGGTGTCATTACTCTTGACAACATTTTCATGAAGGTAATGCTTGATGCTTCCAACCTTAAGGACTCCAACTTCTTTGAAGGTCCAGCCGGTAACCTCTTTCGAGAACTCTTGATTGGCAGTTTTAGTCTCCTTGGCGTCAGATCCAGCACCTCCCATTCCAATGCTACGCTTGACCTTAGCATCGAACCATGTGTCCTCGAGAATCTCTGATGACCCAATAACTGTGAATCTAGCAGAGTTTCTAGCTTGCATGGTGGTAATGAGTGATAATTGTTGTCCAACGGCAAATGGGTCTTCTACACCCTCGATATCCTCCTTGGGGTTGTAAGAGTATGCGGTTCTTGGAGCTCGGAGTAGTGGAGTCAATAATGGACTGGTGTTTCCCAATGTCTGTCCAACAGCTCTTGGGAAAGCAATGACTTCCCCGCCTTTGCCATCTCCACGGAAGTAGTTCTTAACATCTGGTCTGACAGCGCCTGGTCGTGGCAGAAGAACAACGTCGTGCTTCTCTGCGGCACTCAATGTATCATAGTTGAAGTGATCAACAACAAGAGAATTGCGGTCCGTTGGAAGGTGTATGTCGAGCTCCAAGAGTAACGAGACAAGGGCAGTGGGGGTAGGGTGAGATGATGAGAGTGTTAATAGGATATTTCCGCCCTTGTTAATAAAGTCGAGAAGGAGCTTTGGTGTCAAAGCTGGCCCCAAACCTGCTACGTGTTAATTGGGCTTATTCCAGTGAAGTAGGACTCGTACCTTTTGACTTGGATGGCAGGATGAGTAGATGGTCGAAGGAACGCTCTCCCAGTTCAAAAAGTCCCAATTTCTCGGTTTTCGGTGACTCATATGTTAATTTATATCCTCGTGCTGTTTGCGCAGATAATTCAGTAAAATGAACCTCACAATTGTAAATTTGCTACCACAAACAGCTACGACATACCTTCAAGATCTCCGAAGTACTTTGAGTATTTCGACTTCTCAGACAATTCCTCCAATACAACTAATAATTTGTTTCCGCTAGCACTCAAAGCTGAGACGGCACTGAGCAAGCCCAGCAACAGAAAAGAAAGAATCCACCTCATATTTTTGTTGTGGTTGACTTCAATATTCTTTCTTTCCAAATTGTGAATTGCGCGGCTTGGAAGCTTTAGGAAACGTATGCAATGCCAAGAGTTTCCCACAGCAACAGGGATTCCGATTAGTGCCTGATAGCTACACGTGATTCTGGTAAACTCGCGACATCAACGTCGAACTTCCAGCCCCGAGCGATTTCAAACCCCGCGGAAGAAATCAGCAATAAGAAATTCTTGTAAGTTGTCTGATATTCAATTATTTAAGAAGAAGGAGCCACTTTACTTCTAGCAACATGCTAACAACCATAGATAAAATGTCATCCACAATACCACGATTCTTCTCTCAACCTTTTCGCTACATGCGATGGGCAGCCATTGAAAAGCCCGCTATCTTCTTCTCCATAGCAGTCGGAAGCATTGGACCAATTCTCGTTCTCACAGTACCAAAGATCCGTCACAGACTCGGGGACGGACCAAGACCACAGATTCCTTTGACATATCCAAGTAGGTTGATGCACAAATTGGGGTTTAGAAGCCAATAATGTTTGCAACTACTAATGAATGTGATTCGCGCAGTGCCTTCTGGACCAAGAAAACCTTTGAGTGGTTACGATGACGAGTAAAGTTTTATAGGGGCCAGGGAGGTTGTTGGACGAAACAATCGTGTTTGTACATAGGAATGGCGTCAATGAATCGAGGGAATACCTTTACAAATGATATCATAGCGATACATCGTCAAAACGATTCGATGATCAAGTTCGAATCGATGCGACTGTTCAGCAGGAAAGCTTGAGGTAGGGTATCATATTTGTATTTTCAGTGGAAGACGAAAGCTTGATCTATGCCCCTTACCTCGAAAATGTTCTCTTTTGGCTATGATTGACTCGAGGCTTCGTATTCAGAGCTCAGTAGCAAATTCCTAGGTGAAATGGATACCCTTCCCTGGCTATCGACGTGAAGAATATCGCAACTGTGCACAAGTGCCTTTCTCGAATTAATTTTTCTGTACTGTCGTTCTTAATATTTTCAACGTTTGTTATCTTCTTAGTTGCTCAGCGCACCTCTCTGGCTGCCTGCTTGTTGAAATAAAAATGTAATGTAATCTTGTCGAATTATTAGAGGAAAATCCGCTGTCTGCGTTCGCGAGGCAAGTGGAGTCTCTCAGTATTCCCTACATATTCAAACGAATATGGCAAGAATGCACAGCTGGACAAACTTCATGATCATTTTAATTCTACAATGTTGTTCATACGTGCAAACAGATAGTGTCAGCCAGTCCTCTGCATTTTGTGCTTGCAACTAAATGAGTAGAAATCAATCACTATGAGTCTTCTTTTCCTCCCCAAAGAACCAAGCAGTCAGCCACTCAATTTTGCTTACTCGGAGGGCAAAATGAAACATGTCAAAAGACTTTGATCAGATATGCAAAACCTCAAACTCCGGGGGTGGAATTTGGTGCGCTCCCTGGTTAGGGAATACCTCGACTGGATGCGAGGCTACGTCTTGGAGTTCTCACTTGTCCCAACACACTCGATTTTCAAGGAGTATAAGTGTTGTAATTAACAGAATGTAAGGTCCTGAAGCTGACTACTGGGCCAGAGGCCCAAAGGTCAGTGAAATTCTGCTAACTGACAGGGGGACGCTTATTTTATGTTATATAGTAGTAGAGAGGCAATTCACTTCTCCTGATTTGATAGACCCACTCATGAACAGGATTGAATCCTCGTCTTCCCCCATCCCTTATCACTGCTTCCAAGAAGATTAAAAAAATGCTGACGCTTTGGATGGGCAAAAGCTAATTGATACCAGAATGGTACCCCTCCTTCTCAATTTGTGAGTGCCCTCCTTGGGGCTCCCCTTTGAGGCTCCCCTGAGGTTTATATCATTGGTCCCAACACACACTCTTTCTAAATCGAGTTGATAATGTTGTAATTGACAGAGCCGGAGTCCCTAACCACTTAACCATGAGATTTATCCAGAGGTCAAGGAGATTTTGCTAACTGACAGAACATGGCTTATTTCACATGACATGGTCATCTCACTCAGTCTGTATTTTCAACATGCAGCCCCATTAATAAATGAAAGAAACTTATTACCTACAAAAGGGCAAAATCTTCACGAAAAATCTGGCATTGGCTGGGAAGCAAAAACTCCTCACCATGGTGCGGAGGCTGGAAATCATCGGTCCCAACCAGATCAGCTTTCACCTCGATGTTGTCATTATCAGAGCTGGGATCCCTAATCAGCAAGACTTGATTTCGAAAGGCTGAGGAGACTCTGTCAACAAATATGATGTTGCTTTGGTCAGATCATACAGTAAAGTTTCAATCCATCTTTATCTTAATGTGAATGATAATCATTATCCGCAGCTGACACTTCAAGTAAACCTAATTTGAATTGAGAATCACCATTTTGGCCTTAAGTCATGCACTATCTAGCGACGAGCACGCGATGAGATATTATTGTAGGCTATAGTTGGAGTAAACCAATCACTCCTCGAGTTACTATGATTCCTCCTCAAATATTTTGCGCCTCAAATGTCTCTGTTTCATAAGTTTATACCTTACTAGAAGCCCAATTTCGAGACATCAGCGCTCGTAGGCTTTCCTTGTATCATCTCCGCCATTACTTTCCCAGTACCCAAGCTCATGCTAATACCCCAAGGTCCATGCCCTGCAGCAAGCCAGATTCCTCCATCTTTATCATTCCTGGTACTCATTCCACCCAGATTATCATCAGCCACCTTCGCCAAAATCGGCGTTCCCCTTTTCGTAACCGGTCGAAAGCATAAACCCTTCCTAACAACTTGCATTTCAGAGCTTTCGTCGAAACCGAACATTCTTCTCGCCGTGTTCTCTAGTCTCCGTATCGCGTTCTCTTGAAACTTAGACTCCGTTGCAAGTTTTGGTAATGGTTCAGTCGAGGAATTTAGGCCCGCGACATAGATTTCACCACCCTTTCTCGAAAAGACTTCAGGACAATAACCCTCTTCATCACTAGCAAACACAGCTTGACATTCTTCATCTTCCAGCTCTTCGTTCCAATTTGGTGTTCGTACAACCAAAGAATGACCAGCCAAACTTGTGATCGGTAATTTAAACGTTGATTCTGGAAATAAGGTAGAGAATACCTCAGGTGACCAACACCCTGCTGCTATCAGAATTTTCGTACACGGGACATCTGATTCAATGTTGGTAGAGGTGTTCAAGATACGTATACTAGATATTTCGGATCTCATATCTTGATGAACGGATAATGCTTTCGCAGGGTGATGAAGTTGTACGCCGCACTCAAGACAGCTGGCAAGGAGGAACTGACACAACTTCAAGGGGTCACTTGATATGTTAGTGTAATTCTGCCAGTGGATGATGTTTTGAATGAACTCACACTTGAGCTGTACTTCCCTCTTTACTAATAGACTCCATTTCATCACCCTCATTCTTTTTGAACCACTTAGGCCACTCTCCAGCAATACTTGCCGTTTCCTGCACACCTACCCTATCATTACCACTAGCAGTCTCAGCTCTGCTCCTGCCCACTCTCAACCAATCGTCCCCTCTGACTCCCTTCTTCCCGCTCTTTCTCGCCTTCTCTGCAGCAACATGACTCACAAAATTCAAACTTCTACTCACACTATATCCCCATTTCTCAGCACCAGAATTTTCCTCGGCAAGTTTTTTGTGTTCTTCGAAACTCAAGAGCCCCAAGCTAGATGATTCATCACAAAACCAATCTCGAGAAAGAAAACCAGCTGCGTAGCCTGAAGCTGACGAGAAAAGTGTGGGAGATGGGTCTACGAGCTGAATGGTGGAAGGGTCTTGGGAGAGAGAGAGATAGTATGCGGTTGAGAGACCGATTATACCGGTGCCGAGGATTACGGTGTTGGACATTTTGTGTATTTTGGAAGTGGAATTCTAATAAATCAATATAGACGTATCTGAACTTAGCAGATCATACAGAACTGATAGACGTTAAGTAGATGCTTAATATCGACGGCGCCCTTTTGTCCTGCTCCGCAATCGGCATGACGTAATGGTCCAATCACAGTGAAGTTTTCTGCTATATATGAATTGAGTGATGGAAATAGTGGAATAGATGTGTTAGCTGATAAGTATGCGTAGAGTAGTACCAGGTAGCCACGAATAGTTAATACTTTTCTTATCTCAATCTTCCCATATGCATGTGTGAGTGAACAGTGCTTGAAGCTCCAAATTTAGTAAACGGAAGAGCTCAATTGCCCCACCAAAAGACATCACGCTTTTCTCACCACTCCCACACCCATACCCAATCACCACACCATACCATTTGAAGAACGAACTCATAAAACCATCAATACACGAAATAACAAAATGGCGCCCAGAACAATTCTTCTCACAGGCGCAAGTCGGGGAATTGGCCTTGCAATTGCCCAGAAACTTCTGAAGGAAAAACATAATGTGGTACTTGTAGCTAGGACTGCAGGACCTATGGAGGAACTGAAGAAGCAGTATCCGGAACAGGTGGAAGTTGTTGTGGGGGACTTGAGTGATTTTAAGGTGGGTGCTGAGAATGTTTGCTGTTGGAAATTTCCTGAATTTGGATGATTGTGGATTGATCATCGAACTCTAGTGAGAACATGGTTGGAAATGCAGATGCAGGTAGTCAGTAGTCTGCTCTGGCTACTTCTGGTGATGTTTCAACTGCAGCATTCTTAATTGAGAATGCGCCATAAACAAATCGTGCCCACCTGTTCCATTCTTTTGCTTTCTCCCTATAATCCCATTTCTAAGACTCAAAAGCCTACAGCTAATTGAGTCCCCCATTACCAGGTAGGACCACAAGCCGTCGAAACCACCATCAAACGATTCTCCAAACTTGACAGTCTAATCGTCAACCACGGAACCTTGTCTCCAGTAAAACGTATAGCCGACAGCACCCCCGAAGAATGGCGGGGTCTATTTGACGTCAATTTCTTCAGCGCCCTAGCATTCGTTCGTCTCCTTCTCCTTCTCGTCTGTCTTCCATGCTCCAAATCTAACCATACTCCAGATAACCCCTTCAATTCCCCATCTGCGCACCACCCGCGGCACCATCTTGCTCACCTCTTCCGGCGCAGCTGCTTCATCCTATAGCACCTGGGGCCCATATGGTTCCTCCAAAGCAGCTCTCAATCATCTCGCTCAGACCCTTTCAGTCGAAGAACCATTGATCACCAGTCTCGCCATTAGGCCTGGAGTAGTAGATACAGAGATGCAAAAAGAGATACGGGGCCATAGTACCAGCGGCGTAATGGACAAGAAAGATGCCGAGAAATTCATTGGTTTACACGAAGGGGGAAAATTGTTGAAAGCAGAGCAGCCAGGTGGTGTTATGGCTGGATTGGCTAGCGATGAAAAACTGAGAGATGAGGGGCTAAATGGCAGGTTTTTAAGGTGAGTTGTTCTAATCTTGAAGATGAAAATGTAGCTGGGAACTAATGCGATTCAAAAAGTTGGGATGATCAATTGTTGCAGAGATATCGGGAGTAGGTTTCCAGTCATAGGTGATGGAAGGCGTAGATGGAAAAGGGCAGGATAAAGCACAAATATAGAATAGTGTTTCTCTATTCATGAAAGACTAGAACAGGATACATGAACACAGACCAATCATAGTTCACCAGCAAACACGATCTTCACTTTTAATGAAAGGAACCAGCCAATTACATGTTTGTCCTTTCACTGGGAAAAGTCTTGTTGCATATCTGAAATAATTAATTATCGTGATTTTATTGACTTCAATCGAAAGTCACAAAATGCGACTTTTCTTGCCGACCTCGATTAGAGTAGTATATCTTTCTCTCCAACATATCACCTTATCTTTACAAGAAGCATACCACGAACTGCCTGAATCAAATCCATCGATATGGAACAAATGTATAAGTTTACATCTAGCCAGCCCTCAGGGTATCATGCAAAAAGGCACTCACTCTTCCTCTTTCAACTACGGCTCTCTTCCTGCCTCACCACCATCCATTATTGTCTGCTTCCAAACATTGACGTGGCGAATGCCAGGATAGAGTCTCTCGCTCGTTATGCCTTCTATGTTATTCTGGAAAGGTAGAGTTTACGCTCACTCAAGACGAAGCTCCTGGTTTAGGACCACCCTGCGCGCTCCCGCCTCGCTTCATTAACCCGGCAAAGAAAGATGCTAATGCTTCGTTTTGAACTTTGCCTTCCGCAGATGGATCAGTACGAGTGCCTGGTGCTGCCGACTCTGGTGAAGAATATGCTTGTCGGTCCTGCGCCTGGTTAGTTTTGCCCAGAGTTGTCAGGTAAAGAAAAGCACTTACCCTTAATCTTTGCAACATGTCATCGGCATCGACCTGAATACCGCCCATATTAAACTGTACCGGGCCGATATGCTCACTAACTCTTCCTTCATCCGATGCTTTATCCTCGCCATTCCCATATTCACTGGACACCTTGCGACCATTAACTAAGCGACTACTATCTACACTCGAGACATCTGGCCCCTGACTAATTGTATGCAGAATTTCGACTTGAGAAGCCAGGAAACTCTGAGCATCAAGACTAGATACTTCCAACTTAAGACCTTGTGATTCTGCAGACGTGGCTTGCAGGGCATCGAGACTGGGGTCTCGAATGACTTCTTCGTATGCTAATACTGCACTTTCAGGTACTGGCAACGGTGGCTGTGAGTGTGTACTACTATCATCGCTAGATGAATCTTCTTCGATGTCAAGTGACCAGCCTTTGTTTACTTCCTCTACATTGAATCCTTCGCGCAGGACTCGGATTTTACCCCAAGAGTCCCAATTTGGCGGCACAACTACCTTGTCGCGATCAATAAGATTGTGTCTGATAGGCTGCCTTTTGAGGAGAGAATGTATGCCGAGAGAGGAGTGTATTAAGCTTTGCAGAGGACTAATAACCCCTGGTGTTGTGTATATGAGAGATGCCCCATCTGATATAGTTAGCATATGTGTTCGATCGTTGTAAACATATAACTTACGCTTGAGGAGGATTGTGCGCAAATACTGTAGGACGTAATCAAACTCATCTTCTCTCCAGGACCGTTCTTTCTCCAGCGTTTCAATTTTGTCAGACTAGACACCTGTTAACATAGCACATATGCGCCTGCACAAGAGAACCTACATTTTGACAAACCACGCATAGTGGTAAACCCAAAGCCTCTTCCCATTCTCCAGGACCCAACGGTAAGCTAACATCTCCCTCAGTAGCAGTGCTCCCTCCACCATCTAAAGTGCTTCCACCACGCCCTCTATCCCTCCAACTAATCATTACCTCTTCCATTTTCTCCTTACAATCCTCATCCAGAGATATCAATAATGGCCGCAGAAGACGTATCCAGTCCCGTAATTCTCTCAGCCAGAACCATGGTTGCGACCAGTCTAGTAATATGACAATAAGAGTATTTGGGATTGTTTGTGGTGTGAGAAGTGGTTGCATCAGAGGTGTGAAGGAGGGCGAAGGGTCGGCGAGGAGGTATAAGGACAATCGAGCCAAAATATCTAGATGGAGTTAGTTTCTCGTCGAAGTAGTCGACTGCGCCAAATTAAGCATACCTTCATGATCCGCATCCAAAACATCATAATATGTGTATCCCAAAGCAAAGTTGTTTGCAATAGGAGGTTGTTTGCTACTTTGTCTATCCTGAGATTTCCTGGTCTCATCCACCGACAGAGCCTCTAGAAACTCTTTCTGTGAATCCGCGGTTCCTCCTATTTCATATTAGTATATCCCCTCTGTAACATATTCGGGATACTGCTGCAGTACCTAGCACAAGGATATTCTTCTCCGGTAATCTTTTTCCACTTGCGACTCCATCCAACATGGACGACCACATATCCTTTTTCTCCTCATCATCCGTTGATATCGTAGCTTGTGTATACGTCGACGCCCTGTTGTTTGCCATATCCGCTGTTTTGGAAGTTTATTTACTTCCTTTCCCCTGTATTGCACTCGTAACCATGCAGTTTGTAGGCCAATCTTTGAAGCCTGAGTAATTGTCGTTGGTTTCTCCCGACCCAAAAACTTCCCATCCGATATATGGGAGGTAAGAAATCAATGAATTCCGTATTTATCGCATTGGCTATTCTAGGCCTCATCAAGTTCTGTGGTTTGGGGAAGCTTCATAAAGTTGTGAACGTAAATCAATGCAGTGGAACACGCGAGGCAAGGGCCCAAATTTATTATTTCGCAGCCTTGTCCCTGCTTCTTCCGCCTCACCTACCTAGTGCATTCGTTACAACTCATTACTATACGCACAACAATATGAATAGTATCCGTCAGATTCAAGAGCTTAATAGACGTGAATTGGAGAATGGAGTGCAAGTTAGCAATCATTTTTGTTTCATTGCCAAACTAACTATCCTCTAGTTCTCCATCCGCCTCGTGGCACACGGATTATCGCGACACAGCTTACATCTACATAGGCGGCCTTCCTTTTGAGCTCTCCGAAGGTGATATCCTGACTATATTCTCACAGTATGGCGAGCCAACGTATATAAATTTAATACGGGACAAAGAAACGGGAAAATCTAAAGGGTTTGCATTCTTGAAATATGAGGATCAGAGGAGTACGGACTTAGCTGTCGACAATTTGGGAGGCGCGGTAATTGCGGGCAGGACGCTGAAAGTGGACCATACGAGATACAAGAGGAAGGAGGGAGAAGAAGATACTGGAATGGATCTAAATGAGGAGCTGGATAGAGAAGGAGATGAGAGGCGGAAGAGAAGAAGGACCAGTGGGGGGAGTGAGGATAGCGAAGACGAAGAAGAACAGAGACCAATGCTCAAAGAGGAGAGGGAATTAGCGCTGCTAATCAGGGACCATGATGAGGACGATCCGATGAAAGCATTTCTGATTGAAGAGAAGAAGGAAGAGGTCGCAAAAGCACTGGCAAAGGCCAAAGGAGGAAGCAAATCCGAGAGGTCTGAGAAGAGCAGAAAGCATAGACATCACCATAGATCCAGGCGAATTAAGGATGGGGAAGATTTGGATGATGGCCATCGATCTCGGCATAGGTCTCATGGCCATGATAGAGACCGGGATCGAGATCGCGAGTCTAGGAGAAGATCCTCAGATGATGATGGAAAAGAAAGGAGGTCACGGCGAGAAAGATCACCAAGGGAGGATGAGGGTGATAAATTCAGTTCTCGATCACGGAGAGATAAAGAAGAAGATGCGCCAAGGCGTCGCGATTATGAACGAGATGGTAGGCACAAGGACAGGTCCAGTGAGCGACAAGAAAAAAGAGATGATTCAAGGGAGTACGAACATGATAGACGGAGGCACTAGTAATATAGTGTAGGAGAACCTAAGCATTGGCCTGTAGGAGATTCTATGACCTAGTTGACGCAATATGCAAGTTCTTGTGCATGAATAGCCCCAAATACACGCTTAATGCCCACCCATATATAATGCAACCCGATTAACTCCAATCATAAAGGGTATTTGGCTCCTTACCGTGTCGTGTCATACATGCATGAAAAGTGACTGGTATTTATTCGACTCTCAAAATTCTCTTCCAGCCATCCCGTATACAGTAACGCTTGCCATCTTCACCTTCGGCAATGATAAATTTTTCCCAGCGACTGTCAGTGCCTGCTCCAACAACAATTAGACTCTCATCACTAGTCCATCCGATGACACCTTTCGAGGCCTTGGGTCCAGCGTCGCTTGCTGTTAGTGGGTTAGAAGATGCGGACAAAGGCTCCTCGCCAATGGAAAATGTGGCAGTTGCAAAAGAATACATGTCCGAGAATAATCGGGGCATCAAAGGTAGTTTCCCTAGAATTCCCCACTTGTTTCTTGCATCGGAATCTGGCGTCGTCGGGCTACTGTTACCACCACCACCAAGGGATGTGAGCCGTCGATGACCTGTCGCTGATTCCGATCTTGGAGGTTTTGAGGGATGCGGAATGTCAAAAACATGGAGCGTAGCTTTATCTGAAGTAACAGCCAGGAGCTGTCCTGACGGGGAAATAGAGATAGAAAAAATATCAGCGTGGTCGACACCTCGTCTGAGTTCAGCTATCTTCGCACAATTGCTGGTTGCAAATACTCTGACCAGTGTACCCTACATTGACATGAGCTTCGGAACTTTCAAAATAATATGAACAATAATCAAAGACTTACAGTTTCGCTGGCAGTTGCAATGATCTCATCATCACGGCTTAACGCTAGAGCTCGAAGAGCTCCCGTGTGAGCAGGTATAATGCTAACATTTCCACTGTTGAGTTCGACCACTTGTACTTGCCCGGATGTTCTACCGGGAAATATCAAGATGCTGGCACTTAAGCAACACAGTCCATAAGGATTGCTTGCAGTCTCATAAGCCTGATATAGTGCAGGGTTGCTTTGGAAATGGTAAACACGAATGCTGTTCAAAAGTGCAACTACTATGTGAGTCCTCGTGATTCGAACTCCTCTGACAGAGGTAAGAACCGATACTTGGGCAGCAATCTTTGCTTTCAAATCATCCCAAATGATTACCTACAGTAATGTTAGGCCACAAATATGAATTAATCCTCCCCACTCGAATCTACTCGCCTTGTTCTGAGCGAACTTTGGTTGTTTTCCACCACCAACTAGAGCAATGTAGTTGGTATTCCCAAGCATCTGTGCTGTTCCAACCCCGCCATTGAAGTCTACCTCCGTGGTCAGTACTGATCAGTTCAAAGATTGTGGCTTGAGATCTACCTCTGGCAACTCGTTGTTGACATGCTTCTGTGTTGAACACTGTAATTTATAGTCAGAAAGTCCCCCCTAAGAAACCCTCTCTTGAGACATACCACGAAATCCTGTATCAAGTCCAATAGCAAAACAGCTAGCATCGTGGTTAAAGGAAGCTGATAAGGCTGTGGGATTCCTTGAGTTCTCTATCAAGGGCCTGGTATTCATCTTCGATAGCGATAACGTGCTCCAATGTTATTTATCCCAATGATTTCCAAAGAAATGATGTATCAAAACGATGTGAATTTTGTCATCAAAATTTTGAGTTGCTCACTGCTCTTGAGATTCGATATTTTGATTTATGAGATGGCTTGCGACAACTACGATATTCTCGATATAAATATTTAAAAGTAGGTACTGTCCTGCGCGGTACTGTATTATACGCTGCTGTGTGGGTGTGGATAGGACTGCGCTATTTCAGCGGGCTAGGCACACTCTGTACAGTACCAGGCTATCAATTACCTGCAATCTCTATTTACCTATGCAAGATGTTAGGTACGGTAACGTGGGTGTCCGCCGTTCGTAATCGTAATTAATGAAAAGACTAGGGGACCCTTCTCAGCGTTGTCCCGAGCCTAGTGGGTAGGTTTAAATGTTTTCCAACTTGTTGAACCATCAATTAAGGGTGTTGAAATCATGACAGATTTGTTTCAGTGCCAGCAAGTTTGAATTGAACTCCCAACGTCAATTATGTACAGAACGGTACTGTCCAGTGAATGTGAATGTATATATATTTCCCTTCTATTCCACTGAATGTGATGTTTGTCGTTGTTATGGATGGATGATATTGATAAGAACTCATTCGCATCATGATTACTATGTTTCATCCCCCAAGATAAACTGTGACACCCCAGAAAATTGCTTCTCTCAGCCTCGCACTGAGTTGCACAAGCTCTATCACCCGCTGCTTAATTAGGTAAAGCGTTATATTTCGCTAATTTATTCCCCTGACCTGAAGAAGCAACGACTTGTCGACCGATAGTTTACGAGGGAGTGAATATCCGCGACTTCAATTTCCACACAGTTCAACAGAGCGAAAGCACTTATTTTCTTTCCATCAATTCTTCCTTTTCAATCCATCCTTCCCCCTTCAATTTAAAAGCCAGTTCAATCGTTTTTCCTCGTGGCTTAAGCCTCGTAATAATAAGACAATCATGTCGTCCCCTTTGAATGCTGTATGTTTATCCCTATCAACAACTTTTTTGGTCTATGTCCAAAGTCTGGATAATCTGACCGCAACTTCCCCAATAGTTCTCATCTGGGGTTTGTTCTCACATTTCGAAGTTCGATCAATACTAACTCAGCGATTTCCCTAGATCAAGATGCGAAGAAAGAAGAATGTCAAGAAGGGTATCCAGTTCTGCTTGATGGTCTGTGGTGCATCAGGCACAGGTATGATAGCACAATGCACCTATGGATATCATGAGCGGTATTGACTGGATTCCACAGGAAGAACCACTTTCGTGAACACTCTATGCGGCAAAAAGGTCCTCTCTGGCAAGGATGCCGACGATGCGACAAACGCTCATGTCGAGGAAGGTGTCAAGATTAAGCCAACCACAGTTGGTAAGCAACATTTGGATCTACAAATTCTATCTAAATTGGGCATTGACTGACACTCTTGCAGAGCTGGAATTAGATGAAGAAGGAACCCGTATTTCACTCACAATTGTCGACACACCTGGCTTTGGAGACCAAATCGACAACGAGGCAAGGTAGGAGAGACAATTTACAACATGAACAATTTTAGCTGACAGATGCGAAGTTTTGGAGAGATTGTTGGCTATCTTGAGAGACAATACGACGATATTTTGGCAGAAGAATCCCGTATCAAGCGTAATCCTCGTTTCCGCGACAATCGTATCCATGCATTACTTTATTTCATCACCCCTACCGGCCACGGGTATGTCACATCTCAATCTTCACCTCCCGATTTCAAGCTGACGTACTTCATAGCCTTCGCGAATTAGATATCGAGCTTATGAAGCGTCTCTCTCCTAGAGTTAACGTTATTCCAGTTATCGGAAAGGCCGATTCCTTGACACCCGCAGAACTTGCAGAATCAAAAAAGCTTGTCATGGAGGATATCGAGCACTACAGAATTCCTGTCTACAACTTTCCTTACGATATCGAGGAGGACGATGAGGATACAGTTGAGGAGAATGCTGAGCTTCGTGGTTTGATGCCATTCGCCATCGTAGGATCAGAGGATGTTGTTGAGATTGGTGGACGTCAAGTTCGTGCAAGACAATATCCATGGGGTGTTGTAGAGGTTGATAACCCAAGACATTCCGACTTCCTTGCCATTCGAAGTGCCCTTCTACACAGTCATTTAGCAGATTTGAAGGAAATAACCCACGATTTCCTGTACGAAAACTACCGTACCGAGAAGCTTAGCAAGAGTGTTGAAGGTGGTAGTGGAGGGTATGTTTCATTCATTCTAATCATGATTGATAAATGCTAATAGCTCTACAGTGATGCTTCTATGAACCCTGAGGACCTGGCCTCTCAATCTGTCCGTCTAAAGGAGGAGCAACTCCGCCGTGAGGAGGAGAAGCTCAGAGAGATTGAGATCAAGGTGCAACGAGAGATTGAGGCGAAGAGACAAGAGTTGTTGGCTCGCGAGAGTCAATTGAAGGAGATTGAGGCTAGAATGCAACGCGAGCAAACTGCTCATCTTGAAGCAACCAATGGAACGCATACGTCAGCGGAGGCGGAAGCTTAATGGTGATGATGTACAGGGGAAATGTGTTTATGCGTAAAAACATGGATGGATGACTGGCGGCGATGGAGAGGCCTGTCGATTCTCGGTTGCTGCATACGCTTTCGTTCGGATTTCTGGGGCTGGGGATTTTTCTTTTTGCAGGTCGTTGACGGCGCTGCATTTATTCTGGCTCCTCAAAAAAGCTAATACCGTAGTTTCTTATTGCCTTCTAATGTGCAGCTAAATCGATATTTATTTCTTATTAGGTCAATAATTCTTGAAAACAACAGAGCTACCTCGATGTACGTGATATTTTCAGTGATGTGTTTTTTGTCTTATGTTTGAGTATGTTTGAGTATGGCGAATATCATGCGTACACAAGTTTAATGTCGTAAATTGACATGTTGATTCACTACAAAACCTTGACAGACATTTTTAATTACGCTGCAACAACAATTGTTTTCATGTTTCAATTACCTAGGTAGGTAGCTATATAAATCATGCACATTTTTCCTTTGAGGAGGCTGCGCTAGTCATACAGTTGCACCCCGTCATCATATGACATTACATACATTACATTAGGCTTCCTCGGCACTTTAACTATTGCTTCTCCGCAGTGCCTCATCTAGACTCAATCATTTCAACACCACACCTAGTATCCAACTTTTCAACGCTATTATCGCAGTGCATCGCAAATCATCAACGACCATTTTTTGAGATACCAACAAACTATGGCTTCGAACACAAAATATACTCGCGCTTCCCAGCGAGACTCTCTCGATGATCCCGCACATTATTCGCAAGCCCCTCCATCTTATGCTGAGCCTTCTGCATCTGCGGATAATGATGCTCTCCTAGGAGGACCAAGAAGCAGTGAGGACAACATTCCGGATGACTTCAAGGTATACAAAAGACCTACGGCTTAAAATTCGTAACATATAATCTAACAAGAGTGTAGTTTGGAGGTTCTGTGGCCGAAGCAACTATCGAGATCCGAATGCAGGTATGAAGATCTGGGTTATGAATAATCAGGCTGTCCAATTTCTAACATTCTTTTTAGTTTGTCCGAAAAGTCTACGCCATCCTGTTAGTATTGCGCATCTCTACCAACATGATTTCGTTATGCTAATCTCCTTGTCAGCTCTGTACAACTCATCGCTACAGCCGCTCTAAGCTCCGTCTCCTTCTTCAGCGAATCCTACAAAACTTGGATTCAGTCAAATTCTTGGATGTTATGGACTTCAGTATGTTAGATTCTTTTAGCAACACTTGGATAATGCTGATAATTGTAGATGTTTGGCGCAATTGGCTTCATGCTTTTGACCTACTGGAAGCGAAAGTCATATCCAACCAACCTGTTGTTTCTTGGAGGATTCACAGCGCTCGAGGCATACTCGATATCGGTCATCGTATCGACATTTGATTCTCGCATTGTTCTTCAAGCCGTCTTACTTACTGCCGGAATATTTGTTGCACTAACACTCTTTGCCTGCCAAACCAAATATGATTTTACGTCATGGATGCCTTATCTCTTTGGCGGGCTTTGGGCATTGATTCTCTTCGGATTCATGGCCATGTTTTTCCCAAACAACAGTACGGTTGAGTTGATTTATTCTGGTATCGCCGCTCTTATCTTTTCCGGCTACATTCTCGTCGATACCCAGCTCATTATGAGACATTCTCACGTGGAGGAGGAGATTGCAGCAGCTATCAGTCTTTACCTTGACATCATCAACCTGTTTTTGGCCATTCTCCGAATTCTCAACAGCCAACAGAATAACTAGAGAGAATGCTATGATCAGATAGCGGCATCGGGAAATGACCGAAGCAGGATGTCATCTTGCTTTTGAACTACAACTTTCAATGGACAAAAAATAATTATGGGGTTATGGGTTAATTTGAAAACTGGTACTATTAGCATGAGGTTCCTGTGGGGTTTTCTGGGGGTGGTTTATTTGTTTCGATAGCGCTCTCCCCTTTACTTGAAGAAAGCTCACATTCAATGTTAAATTGTCAGTATACATGCAAGAATTCTTTCCTATCACATATTTTGAATGAAGATGTCTAGGTACGACGGGTCTGATCTTGATGATTCGCCCCCTCCTATTCGGGTCAGGGGTCTAACTAATACCGAATGGGTAACGAAACATCTCATCCCGAAAAAAAACCTCCTCGACGAAAAAGTTATTGTGTTGTGTGCAGTGCGCACATACTGGTGCGGTACGATACTTGCATGATGTATTCCTTGTAACGTCTAGAAGACAACCCTCTGTACTGAGACCTCCTTGAGTCAATTTACAAACTAAACTATTGATTAACTAGATAGCTTGGCTTCTTGAATACCGGTTGTGAGCTAATCTAAACCCTGAACACTAAGTGCATATTTGGGGAGAAGGTCTCCCGATTCCCGTCGAGTATATTCCCGAAGAAAAAAGTGGTCGTTGAAGTCAGATAGAAGTCAAGA